AGTAATCAAGCTGTTCAGATTTTCTATTTCTTCATGATTCAGTGTTAATAACTTGTGTGTTCTTAGGAATGTATCTATTTCTTTTTGGTCGCATAATTTGGCGCACGATTGTTCATAGTAGCCTCTTACGAGTCTTTGTATTTCGGTGGTGTCAGTAGTAACGTCTTTTATTTTTCATTTATTTGAATCCTCTTTCCTTCTTGCTGAGTCTAGCTAGAGGTCTGTCAATTTATCTTTTGAAAAGCAGCTGAGTTTTATTAATCTTTCCATTGCCTTATCAGTCTCTGTTCCACTTATTTCTACTCTGATCGTCATTGCCTCCCTCGCCATCTGGGCTTCGTCGGTCTCCGTCTGGCCGCTCGAGGTGTGGGGGCTGGCGGTTGGTTTGAGATCTTCCTCGTTTCTGGACGGGAGGTGTTTACAGGTTTTTTCTTTTGCCCATTGGTTGTTCAGTAGCATGTTGTTCAATCTACAAATAGTGCTAAATTTTCCAGTTTTCACCTTATAACTAACTTTTAGTTTTATACCATTGTAGTTGGAAAAGATACGTGATCTGGTTTCAATCTTATTAAATGTATTAAGACCTCTTTTGTGGCCTAACGGGGCCTGGAAAACATTCCGCGTGCACCGGAGAAAAACACGTGTTGTTGTTGCTGTGGGCGGAATGTCCCCAGGCGCCTGCTGGGTCCCGCTGGCCGCTGACGTCCTCGGAGGCCCGTGTTTTCTTCCTGATTTTGTCTGGACGATCGATCCCCGGACAAAGCGAAGGGCACGACCCCTCACTAGGGTCGCGCCGCTGTTTCTCCCCGGGGCCTGTTAACATGCGCGTCACACATTTAGACGCCCCCACGTTGGGTGCGCGCGCATTTGCAGACGTTGTGTCCTCTCGTTTGACTGGCTTCGTCGTCATCTCGCGACCTCGTGCAGTTTGTCGTGGAGACTCTTCTGCCTGGGCCGCGTAGAGCTCCCGCAGCTTTCGGTTTTTGTTTCCTCCCGTTTTGAGGCTGGACAATATTCCACTGGACGGAACAGCCACGTGGCAGGTATCCACTCAGTCACTGGCAGGCACCGGAGCCGCGTCCACGTTTCGGCCGCTGCGGACGGCGCCTCCGTGCCCACGGACAGCGCGGCGGGGGTGCACGGCCTCCCCGGGGCTGAGGCTGCAGCGGGGACCCGGAACACCGGGCTGCGTAGGGCGTGGAGGCAACACCAGCCTCAGGGACAGCGGCCTAGGCGTCCGCACTCGCGGCGCTGCTATGAGCGGTGGAATGTGGTGGGTACACCCCGGCCCCCTTCGCCACGCTGGCCCTGACCCGGCGGAGCGCTGCCAGGACCGACGCCACCGCTGAGCCCGGCCAGCCTCGCAGCTGGGCCGCGCCCCGCGCAGGGCCAAGGCCTCTGGGACTGGGCGCAGGGCTCGCGGGGCCAACCCGCAGTCCCACCCACGGGCTCGTCACCGCCCCGCTCCCCCATTGGCTGAGGGGACACACCTGCCCCACCTGCCCCCCCTCTTGGGGCGTCTCCGTCCACCTCCGGGGAACGGTCAGGGGCTGAGTCACCTCGGAGCTGCCCCCACCCACGCCCGGGGCGGCCTGATCGGGGCAGACGCGGTCGCTGAGCGGCAGGGCCGCCGGGAGGGAGCTGGTGGCCCGGGACAGTCTGCTCTGCGCCGCGGGCCGGTCTCCGGGCTGGGAGCGAGGCAGTGGCCGGCACACCTGGGCGTCCCCGCCCTGGTCCCGAGGCTGCGGTCGGAGCGCGCCTGGGGCCTCGGGCCGGGCCTCCCCCACTGCCTCCTGACACCGCAGCGCGCCCACCGGCCCCCCAGCCGGGATGGACCCTCGGGCCTGGCGCCTGGTCCTGGGGGCACTCGGGCCCTGCAGGCCGGCTCCGCCCATGGGGTCCCAGGTGCTCGCAGGGGACTGGCGAGGAGGACCGGCTGGGGCCGCGCCTCCCTGTGGCCTGGGGGAGGGGCGCCGTGGAGTGGCGCCCGGGCCAGGGGGCGGGGCCTGGCGCTTTGGCGCCTGGCTAGCCCCGCCCCGCAGCCCCGCCCCCTTCCGCCGGGAGGGGCTCGAAGCTCTGGCAGTGGGGCTCTTCTGCGGGAGCGCACACCCGGCCCCCTGGCTCCAACGGGGCGGGGCTCGAGCGGGGGGCGGGGCCTGTGTGGAAGCAGCAGACCTGGGGGGAAGGGGGAGCTTGTGGTCCTTTTGTGGCGTGGAAGGACCGGTGTCCCCGTCTCCTCACTCGAACCCTCTTCCGAAGTGGCCGCTCAGGTCGGCCCGGGCTGCACCCGAGCGCACCCAGCCTCCAGGCGCCCCCGGGCGGCGGCGGGACGCGGGCAGCTGCGTGGCCGCCCCGTGACCCTGGGCACAGCGGTCGGTCAGAGAGACGAGCGCGCGGCCGGTGGGGCGCAGCCGCCGCCGCCTCCCGCGCGGGCCGGGCCGGCGCTCCCTTAAAGGGCCAGAGAGCAGATGTTTTCGGGCTGACGGGCCGCGGGGCCTCGAATGCCTGCCCGGCCCGCTTTGTCCCGGAGCGAGCGGTGCGGGCAGCCACAGCCCCGCCACGGGCTTTGGGAGAAACGCGTGGCCCCGCCCCTGCGACTTTCCACGCCCGCGGCCGCACCTCCGCGCCGCGGCCCTGCCCCCGGCCCGCCCGCCCCGCGCACCCTGGCGGCGGCCCCTCCCGCCAAGTCCCTGGGTCCCGCGCCGCCGCTGTGCCCGCGGCCCGTCTTCCCGGCTCTCGGTCCGATTTCCTCACTTCCTGTTGGGGAAGCGTCTTCGCAAAGGGGGAGCTGGCGCTGGACCCGCGCCCGGGGGCCCGGGGGCCCGGGGGGCCCTGGAGGGTGCTGAGGGGCGGTGCCTGGCCCGCGCGGGTCCCCCGCGGGACCCCCTGGGCTGGGGCTCTGCAGGGTCCCTTGCGCAGCGGAGCCCTTCGAGGGGCACCAGACCTGGGGGAGGCTCAGAGCAGAGGCCAGGCCGTCGGGCTGCGGAGACCTCGCGCGGCCCCGCGTGCTCACGAGTCTCGTCACGGGTGGGGTGTCCGGTCTGTGGCAGCCGGAGCCTCGGGCTGAGGCTCAGAACACGGGGCGTGGCCTTCCCCCATCGCGGGACTCCGCCGCCACCCTCAGGGTCCCCACAGCCCGCGCCATCTCCGCTACCCCTGCCTTACTGTCTGTCCCAGCCCCAGGCAGCCCCAAGCCCTGCCCGTCCCTCTGAGCCTCCCTCTGAGCCTGCAAGGGAGCTCAGGGGCCCCAGCCAGCCTGACCTCTGACCCCTGACCCTTTACATTCTGGGGATCAAGACAGCGCGCAGATAGGCAGACATTGTGGAGAAACGAGAGGCGTGTCTGGGAATGCACGACGCTGCCCCCAGTTGGTCAGGGGGCTTCTGTGGGCGGTGAGCTGAGGCGTGGGGGGCAGCGCAAGGACCCAGGCGTTGGGGAGCAGCCTGGGGGGCCCCGGGGGGCCGGGGAGGCGCGGTCTGGAGTCCCTGGAGTTGTCCGAGCAGCGTGGGTGTGCTGTGCGCCTGGCACGCAGGGCCGGTGGCTTCCAGGGCCAGCAGGCTGCGGGTGGGTGGCAGGGGGCAGCCGGGCGCCAGGGGGAGAGAGGTGCTGGTGGGAGGGGCCCTGGACCTGGGGCCTCAGGGTCCCTGGGCTGCCCCCGCCTGGCCCCTTCCCTGCACCCCAGGTCCACCCGGGGCCCCGTCCTCAGCAGCTGTCCTCACCCCGCAGACACCAGCGAGCCTCAGCCTCCACCTCCGCCTCCGCCTCCTGCCCACCCACCGGGGAGGCGGCCCTGGGAGAGGCCGGGCGGAGCAGGGCCCATGGGTGACACAGCTGTGTTTCTCGGAACATTCTCCACTCCGAGTGTCACCCAGAGGCTGTGTGTCTTGGGCCAGCTGCTCCCTCCGGGGTTCCACGTCCGCCCCGAGACCCGGGAGGGCAGGGCTGGGCGGACTGAGCATCGCCTGCATCCCAGGACCGGGCGTGCCGGCCGCCCCTGACCCCGTCGGCCCAGCGCAGCGGGCGCCCGCCACGGTCCTTAGCCCGGGAGCTGGAGGTGTCTGCCCGCCCTGCCGGTCCCACGCGCCCCGCGCACCCGCGGAGCCGCGGCCCCGGCGTGTGGTGTCTGAGGAGCAGCTCTGGCCTCCTGGCCGCAGTGCGTTCTCCGAAGTCCCTGGAGGGAGGCAGGGCTGCGTCCTCAGGGGGGCGGGCGGGGTGTGGCCTGTGGTGACCTGCATGCGGATGCAGCCGCCCCAGCCCCGTGTCCTCATGGAGAAGCGTGTCTGCCCTGACCCGGGGGTGTGCACGTGGCTGTGTCGGGGCCAGCGCTGCAGCCTGAGGTGGGAGAGGGGTCGGCGGGTGCGGCCCGGCCTCCAGGGCTCCCAGCAAGCCCTGCTCCAGCCGTGGCCTCGGCGGGCACCTGGATTTCCACCTGCCTGGCCCAGGAGGCAGCCAGGGTGCGTGGTGATGTGCCGGACGCGGGGGGAGCACCACCGGCGCCCACTCACCCGGTGTCCCCCTGCACGGTTTCCTTCGTCATCGGTCAGTGCCACGTGGACCCCTCACGCCTCCCTGTTCAGACGCGGGGGCTGTTGGCACTGCCGCCTCATCCACGTGCCCCTTGCCAAGCGACCTGGACGCACGACGTGTCCCCCCGCCCGGGCTGTGTCGCCGTGCACGTCCCCCCCGGGGTCCTCGTTGCGCCCGGCGCGTCGGTGCGACCTGCGCGCGGCCCTCGAGCGCGCGGCCCTCCCTCGCAGCGTCTGTTGTCAGCGTCCGCCACGTGACGCAGCATCCACTCCGGGGTCGGGGCCTCTGCGGGGGGCACAGGCCCTGACCGGGGTCCACGGGGCCGGCGACCCTGGACACCTCGCCCGCTGCCCGCCGGCACAGACGGGGCGGCCGAGGCCCGAAGGAGGCCCCCTCCTGGGCCGCGCTTCTGGCCGGGACCCCCGCCCCGAGCTGCGGCCCCTCTGACCCAGACTCGGGCCTTTGCCTTCCAGGTCCCGACTGGGCCTCCTACACCCTGGGCGTGTTCATCTGCCTCAGCTGCTCCGGCATCCACCGCAACATCCCCCAGATCAGCAAGGTCAAGTCTGTCCGCCTGGACGCCTGGGAGGAGGCCCAAGTGGAGGTGAGACCTGGGCGGGGATCCCTCAGGGCCACCCTGGACCGGGCCTGGCAGGGACCCGAGCCCGCGAGGCCCCTGCTCTGTCTGGGCTGACTCTCCCGCCTCCCTCGTGGGGCAGGTGCAAGACCCCCAGCGGGCGGCACCTGGGGCTTCCATCCTTGAACCACAGCCCTGGGGCCCCCCTGTGCCCGGGGTCGTCCCGCCCTCCCGCCCCTCCCAGGCCCCATCTGGCGAGCTCCCGCCCGGCCCGGGGGCTGGGGGTCGCGGGCCCTGGGGCGGCCTTCAGGCGGGGGACAGGTGGGGACACACAGGCAGTAAACGGGGTGGTGGCCTGGGCTGTGGGGGCAGGAGGGGCCCCCTGCAGCCCAAGGGAGCGGAGCGGGAGCAGGCCGGGGAGGCCACCGGCAGGAGGAGAGGGCGGGGTGGGGGCTGCCGGCCCGTGGCGGCCGTGGGGAGACGGGCTGAGCGGGGGAGCGGAGCCCACGGCCGCCCAAGGTCCCGCTGCAGGAGGCACGGAGGCAGCCCGGCCGGGGTCCGCCGTGGGGACGGGGGCCAGGGCTGGGGACTCCTAGGCGCCCCACCTGGGAGAAACCGTGGTGACATCGGCCTCCCCCGGGGGCTTGTTAGAAAGGCAGAGCCCCCGGCCTCCCGGGCCCAGCTGCTGAGTCGGAGCCGGCGTCCGACGGGGTCTGTGTGCCTGGGACACGCCGCCGGCGTCACCAGAAACGCCCGGAACTCACCCACAGGGGCGCCGCCCGGGCCGGGTCGGGGTGGAAACCACACTGGCGTGACCCGTGAGGCCGCGGCGGGGGGAGGGGCTGCCGGACACCTCTGGCCGCACCGCTCCTGGGACGCCTGCGGGGAGGCGGGGCGCGAGGCTGGTGCCCCGGCGCCTGGGCGGCCCTGCTGCCTGCTTCTGTGGGTGGGGAGACATGGGCGGGTCTCGTCTCCCCTCTGGGACCCAGCGCGGCAGCCGCGGCCCTGGCGCGGGCGGGATCGGGCGGGCCCAGGCCCTGGACGTGGAGGGGCCCCCGCCCCGCCCTGTGTGAGCCGGGGGCCCGCCCGCCCGGCGGCGCCTTCGCTGAGGGAAGAGGGGAAGCCTGGGCCCGCTGGGCTCTCACTGGGCCTTTTCGAGCATCTCGCCCTGCCCTGTGCTGGCCCAGGGCCGTCCCTGCCAGGGCCTGGCCAGTTACTTCCATCTCCTACGGGGGAGCTTAACTCTTCGAGGCCGAGGTTGCTGTTTCTCTAGGTTATTTGTGCTTCGACTTGGCTCCCGGGGTTTCGCAGTGGAAACTTTTCACTTTGGTCGAGTTTACCAGCCTTCTCTTGTGGGTTAGGGTTTTTCCGCAACCTTCGCCCTGCTCTGACTCAGGGCTGTTTTTCCTCTTAACGGGTTTACTGAGGCGCAGTTCACAGACTGTGCACCTCGCCTTCCGAAGTGTGCAGTTCATGGGGCTGTGCAACCACCAGCATCTAATTTTGGAACATTTTCACGTCCTGAGCAAACCGGGCTCCTACCAGCAGCCCTGGCCTGCCCCGCCCTGTGGTATGAGGGGCGTGGTGTCTGCGCGCAGCTGACGGCCACGGGGTGGCGGGGGCGGGGGCTCCTTCTTCGCTGCTGCGAGTGCTCATTTGCGTGTCCTGTGCCACGTGTCCCCTCGGACTGGAGGGGCGTTGCTGGGTCCCCTGGTCACCCCGTGTCCGACGTTGAGGACCCGCCAGGCTGCGGCTGCAGACCAGCCGCCCACTGCCCCGGGTTGCGGGCCGGGACCCTGTGCCCCACGGCGGGCGGTGCTGAGCATCGCACCACGGGCTGCCTGGCCGCTGGGGTGTCGTCTTGGGAGACGTGTCCACTCAAATCCCTCACCCATTAAAAAAGGGGTTATTTGTCTTTTTCGGGTTGAGCGAGGAGCTTTTATTTATTGTATTATGAGCAGTTCTGTTAATATTCTGGATACAAGTCCGATGTCGCCTGGGCAGTTTGTAAACACTTTCTCACTGTGGGTCGTCTCTTCCTTTTTCAGTAATTTTCTTTTAATGCCGAAAGTGCAGCGTACGTTCTTCCCGAGCTGTCCACGCAGCTCTCGACTGCGCGGTGACGTGGTCACAACGTAGAGCCCCCCCGTTTCGCCGTGAACAACTCGGTGGCGTCCAGCACCTTCTCAGCACAGCGCAGCCGCCCCGCTGTCTGGGCGCAAAGCCCCTCGGCCCTGCCGCCGGGGCTGAGGGCGGGGTCCCCACGGCGCCCGCCCCCGCCGCCCACTCCGGACGGGGCTGCTTTCTCGAGTGGCCTCGTGTCTTTAAGGTTCATTCCATCTCTTCACTTTCTTGATGGCTTCCTTCGAAGCACAGAAGTTTTTAATTTTGAAGAAATTCCGTTTATTTTCCTCTCGTTGCTGCTCGTTTTGGTTTCCGATGTAAGGAAGCATTTCCTTATCCAAAGTCACGAAGGTCTCTTCCTGTGTTTTCCTAAAATGACTGTTTAAGTTTTCCCATGATCTTCACTACTTTCATTGTTTAATTTTGGAAATCAAATCTTTGGTGCAGTTGCGTTTATTTTGACGAAAGGGGAACCCAGCTCTCCCTTCCCTCCGCCGCGGGCCCGTTCCCGACGCGGCCGTCAGTGAGCGGCACCCCCGTTGATCTGAGAGTCCTCGTTACCTCACGGTCACGTCCTCTTTTCTGTTTTTAAGATTTTGTTTACTCATTTTTAGAGAGAGGGGGGCGGAGGGAGAAACAGAAGGAGAGAAACATCCCTGTGTGGTCTCCTCTCGCGCGCCCGCCACTGGGGACCGGGCCCCCAACCCAGGCCTGTGCCCTGACCAGGAATCGAACCCGCGGCCTTTCCGTTCGCAGGCTGCGCTCCGTCCGCTGAGCCGCCCCAGCCAGGGCTCACGTTTGCTTCTGTTAGATCTGCTCACACTGGACCCGAGACCCTGCTGGGCCTGTGCTGGACGTTGTGGTCTGTCCCTCGAGTTCGGGGGCCTCCTCAGCATCCGTGTTATTTTTGCCACATTGTGACAGGTTTTAACGTCCGCTAGGAAGAGTCCTCATGGTCAGAATTCTCTAGGCTATTTTTGTTCCTTAATTTTAAGATGAACTTTAGAATGACTGCTAGCTTTCAAACACTCGACTGCTGGTTTGTTTGGATTTTTTTGTTTTGAGAATCGCCAAGAAATACACAGATGAACGCAGGAGACGGCGTGTCTCTCTCCCACCCAACAGGGCGGTGCCCGTCCTGGTCCCCCCGCCGCGTCGGGGGGCGGTTTGCGCGGGGGCAGAACCCGCGCGGGGCTGCTGCTTCCGCGTGTGGCCCGTGCATCGTCCCTGGTCTGTCTTCTCTTACGCCCGCTGGCAGGCTGATGTTTTGTGTGGAAAAGCGATCGGTTTCATCCTTCTGATGGGGCCGCGCCCTTTTGCTGAAACGTCCTGTGATTTTTTCCAGCTGATCCTCCTGGGTCCCCCTGCTCACGACCTGATGGTCCTGAAAGCGCGGTGACGTCCCGGGGGAGGCTTCTGTCGGGGGATCAGGAAGCAGAGGGACGAAGCCACAGGGGACGCACCCTCGTCCCCTCGTCCTCAGGCCCGTGGGGTCCGGGCTCGGGCGCCGCCGGGCAGGCGTCGCCGCCCACACGCCTGCCGCGTCCCGCCTCGCGGCCCCTGTGGGCGCTGTCCCCGGGCCAGGGAGCCGGCCTGTGGCCGCCCGGAGGCCCCGCCGGCCTGGCCGGCACCGCACCCCCCTCCCCCGCCGCTGCCCCCTCGGTCCTCTGCACACACCCCCGTGCCCCGGGCGGCGTCCCTGCTCTCCGCCCGCCCGCAGGGACCCCCGCCGTGTCCGGCGCACGTTGGCCGCACCCTCAACGGGGTCCCCGAGGGAGTGGGCCCGGCCTCGCGGGAGGCGGGCGTCCCTGGGACGGGAGGGCCCGGGAGGCTGCGGCCCAGCCCTCGGGGCGCGCTGACCGGCCCCCGTCCTCTCTCCCCCCAGTTCATGGCCTCCCACGGGAATGCTGTCGCCAGGGCCACGTACGAGCCCCAGGTGCCGTCCTTCTACTACCGGCCCACGGCCTCCGACTGTCAGTGAGTAACGAGGGGCCTGTGGGGGTCGCTGGCAAACAGCGGGGGCTCCGGGGGGCGCCCCGCGGGCGCGGTGCCCTGGGACCGGGACTGTTTCCTGCCAGCAGCTCGGCACCTGGGCGCCGCGGGCCGACGCGCGGCCGTGTGTGCGGCGCCTCCGGGGCGTTCGCCTTCGTGCCCCGTCTGCTCCCTGTCTGAGCCTGGGGCAAGGGACAGACTGGTCCACCGGCCGTGTCCTTGCCGGGCAGCCTGGTCCCTGCGGCGGGCCCCTGGCAGGGGGTGTGCTCCCACGCCCCGGCGGGCCCTGCCTTCCGGAAGCCTCCGCCCGTGAAGGTCCTCGGGAGCCAGCCCGCCTCCGCCCGCACGCGCAGCAGGCCCGGCCCTGGGGGGCCCACGCAGGAGGGCTGGGTGCCCGGGGACCCCCGGCCGGGCTGGGGCCAGCAGGGCTGTGTGGGGCGATCCGCCCGCCCGCCGAGGCGCAGCGCAGCGCGGTGGAAATGGGGCGCACGCTGCGGGGGCCGCAGGCAGCCGGGCCGGGGCCGGTGCTCCTCCGTGCGTGGAGGGCGCGTCCTGGCTGTGCGCACCTGGCGCGCTTCGCCCAGGGCTCCTGGCGGCACAGGCCTGCGGCCGCCCCCCGGCCGCTGCGGGGCCCTGGCTCCTGTGGACGAAAACGAGGGAAGCGCGGCGTGAGGCCGCGCGTGGCCCCCGTGAGTTCTCTGGGCGCAGTGACCCCCGTCCGCCCGGGTCCCCGCCTCGAGCTGGAGCGAGGGCGAAGCGGGCAGGGCTCAGAGGTCAGAGGGTCGGGCCACGGGGTCTCTCCTCGCAACCGGCTGGTGACCCAGCCCCCGGGGCCTGGGCGCCCTTCCTGTGCTACCGTCCCCGGTCTCACCCCGATGGGAGCCGCTTCCTGTGCGCCGGCCGGGGGCCCCGCGAGCACCCCAGCCTCCTGGCAGCCGCGGGCCCGGACGCTCCAGAGCCGGCTCTCCCCGGACACAGCCCCTCCTGGACCTCGGCAGCGGAGCCCCGCAGCCCGGCGGCTCCGCCACGGGGCGCCTGTCCGGCAGGCCCGAGGCCGCTGTCCCCGCGTGGCCGTCCCTCCGTGTGTCCAGGCATCTCCCTCCGCGTGGACACTGACCAGGGCCCGCCCTCCTTTACCAGTCGGCAGCCGCCCTGTTCCCAGACGGGAGGGCCCGAGGGCCCCAGCAGGAGATTGGGGGGTGGGCGCAAGCCTGCCCGTCGCAGCCACAGTCGGGGGGCCGGGCTGCCGGGCCACACGCCCGGGGGCGCCTCTGGGGGAGGCGAAGCCCGGCCCCGGGCTCCCGGCAGATGTCGGGGGCACCGCTGGGGGGGCGCCCCATCAGCGCCGGCCCAGGCGGCCTCCGGAGGGCCGGGCCCCACTGCCCCCGAGGTTCAGGACAGGCCTGGGGCTGCCTCCCCCGACTGCTGGTGCCTGCTTCCAGGCCTTCCTCCTGCAGTGGTTTCCAGAAGCTTCTGTGCCAGGACGGGAGCCCTCGCGCCACAGATGAGAACCCGGGTGCAGCGGGGAGCTGATGGCCGCGGGGGTCTCGGTGCCGGTCGCCGAGGCTGCCCCACGGCACCACTGTGGACGTGCGTGTCCAGAACCCGCCAACCCGGATGGGCCGGGGTCGGGCCAGCGCCTGCCCGTGGGCACAGGGTTCTGTTCGGGGCCGTGGAACGTTCTGGAACGGGGCCCGTCTGTGACTGGAGGGGACGGTGAGAGGGGCACTTTCCGCAGGCGACTCCCTCTGACCGGGCGGGACTTGCGTCTCAGCCTCCAGGAAACGGAGGGGGTGGCAGTAAAACCCATTAGCAGATGATTTTAAAAATCAAAGCCGGTGGCCCTCAGCCTCCTGCGAGAGCACGGGCGCGGGTCCGAGGCGGCCCCGGCTGGCGGCCCCCCGGGGCCGCGTCCTGGCCGGCCCGCTCAGGCTCCGCTCTGCCCCCAGCCTCCTGCGGGAACAGTGGATCCGGGCCAAGTACGAGCGGCAGGAGTTCACCGACCTGGAGAAGCAGGAGCCCTACTCAGCAGGTAAGGCGGCTGCGGTGCCCTCCGGCGGCGACCCAGTGCTCGGCGTCCCTGCCCCTCGGCCGGGCCTGAGGGCGGCGCCGCCGCCGGACGCGGCGCTGCCAGGAGGGGACGCCGCTGCGGCAGCGAGAAGGCCGCGGGGCGTCCTGGGGCGTGAGGCGCCGTCTGCCGGGCGCAGGTCGGGGCCCCAGCTCCGGGCGGTCAGCGCTTCCGCCCCCTGGTGGTGCCGGCCCTGCAGGGGCCTGGGCTCCCGCACGCGGGCTCTGTGAGGACAGGGCCGTGGCCGCGCCGTGTGGCGCGGTCAGTCAGGGAGGCCGTGGCCCGGGCACCGCGGCGCGTCTCCGCACTGGGGAGCCGTCCTCCCCGTCCTCACGGCCTGTGGGGGGGAGCCGGGCTGGGCTCCAGAAGTGGGGGCGGCTCTGCGGGGTGACTGGGCGGCCGCGCGGGGGGCGGTGTCCTGTCCAAGGGCTCCCCCGGCCCGCGAAGGACGCGGGGATTCCCGTGGGCACTTCCTGCCCTGCTTGGTTTGCCGCAGGGACGCTTTCTCACCCTGGAATGCAGAAGTCCCCGCAGAGGAGAAAGGGGAAACGCAGGCGCCGGGACGGGCCGGCTCTGAAGCCGCCCTGAGGCCTGCCTCCCGCTCCCCACAGCCGGCACCTGCCGGCCCGAGGCACCCGGACCCGGATCGGGGCCTTGCTGGGCGGGGCGGGGCGGGGGGGGCGGCGTCTGCAGCCGGGCTCGGGGGACGGGCGGTGGGCGGACACGTCGCCCTCGCCGTCTCCGCGCAGGTGCTGGCAGACCTGGCAGGACCCGGTGTCAGGGAGCGGGGGGCGAGGGGAGGGCCAGGCCCCGGGCGGACCCGGCGGGCAGCGGCCAGCCCGGCCAGGGTCGCGGGCGTGTGGGCCGTTCCGGCCCCGGTGGCTGGGGTGACCCCGGGCGACAGCTGGCCTCGGCCCTCCCGACACGGCCCCGCCCGGAGCCAGAGCCTCAATGGCTGCCTTTCACCGGCAGACAATGCGCCCTGTTGTCCAGGGGCCGGGCGCCTGGGCCACCCCCGTCGCCGACCGACACGGCCCCCCGGCTCCCTGCTGGGGCTGCAGACCCCCGTCTCCCCGCCCCCCGACGGCCCCCGGCCGCCCCCCCACCCGTCCTGAACGTCACGGGGCCGGCGGAGCCAGGGGCCTCCCGAGGGCAGTGCCAGAGCCCTCCCTGGGCCTCGGTTTCCCCGTCTGTCGCAGGGGACCTGGCGCCCAGCCTCGGGTGGGTGTCAGAAGGGCTACGAGACGAGGCGTCACGGCGGGGGCGGGGTGGCCGGCGGCCCCGCTGGGGCGGCTGGTGGGGGCCCAGCGGGGCGTGCGCGAGTGCCGTGCGGCGGGGAGGCGGGGGCGGGGGGCCGGGCAGGCCGCTCTGGCCTCGGCCCACGTGCCCCACCTCCTGCGGGTACCTGCCGTCGTGGCCCGTGTGTAGCCTCCGGGTTTGGGGCACGTGGACGGGAGGGGGACGGGCTTGGGCTCATGGGGTGCCCCGGGGGCGGCCGCCAGCCCAGCTCTGCCCGCTGCCGGGACACGGGGTCGGGGCGTGTCCTGGAGAGGCCCGCAGGCCTGTCCCCGAGCACGGGGCCTCTCTGCGTGTGTGCCCTGCGCTGGTCTCTGCGGGGGTCCCTGGGGGGACGGTGACACCAGCCAGCCCCCCGGCCTCCCTGTCAGCCGCCTGGGGAGTAGGACTCGGTTCCCAGCTCCCTGCTGGCTGCTCTGTGACCTCGCAGAGGTCAGGCAGTGTCTCCGGGCCCTGGCTTCCTTGGGCACAAAATGGGGACACGGCTCCGTGCCCCAGGAATGGACCCACTGGCCCCCACTACAGCCCATGCCCAGTGCCCCCGGCAGCTCCTGGCTGCTGCCGCGTGAAGGACAGAACCCGCGGGGACCGTCCCCCTCCCACGTGCCCCGCCCCCACCCTGTGCCCGGCCGAGCCCCTCCCCGGCCTGCGTCTGTCCCAGACGCTGGCCCGTGTGGGCGGGGGCCGCTGTGCCCGACGGTCTGGGGATGCGGACGCTGTCTCCCTGCTCAGTGCTGCCCAGGCCCAGCCCCCGCGTGCTCACACGCATGCACGCACTCACACGCATGTCTGCAGTTCACGCAGGCACAGTTGCACAGGTGTTCCCGCCGTGCCTGACCCTGGGAGGCCCCCGCCATGGGGACCAGCCTCAGACGCCGCAGGCTCGGCCGCAGGAGGCCAGGCCTGGGGCCCACGGGGTCCGGCCGGGAGAGCCTGGGCGTGGTGACCCGGGGCCCGCAGGCTGGGCGAGGACACCGACTCAGGCCGGGGCCCCACCAGGGACCCTGCCCAGCGCCCAGGAACTCACCGCTGCTCTCGCAGAGCCTGCTGCTGGGGTCGTGGGGTCGCAGTGGGCCTCGGCCCTGTTTCGGGGCGGGGGAGCCCCCTGCCTGTCCCAGGCTCTGCTGCCATCTGCTGGGCCTCGCAGGCAGGGCAGGCGGCCCCATCGGGGTGGCCGTGGACGGGGGCTCCGTCTCTGCGCCTCAGTTTCCTCTTTTGTACGATGGGGCAGGAGCAGGGAGTGCCTTGCAGGTCGTTCTGGGGATTAAGTGGGATGACGTGTGTCAGGTGCTGGTGGGCCTCACCCGGAAGACGCTCGGTGACGGCAGGTGCCGTTCTGGTGGGTGGCATCCCCTGCCGAGCGAGGAAGCCGCACCCGGGGTGCCGCGGGGTCCACGGAGCCCGTGGGTGTGGGCCCGGGCCAAGTGCGCGCTCGGTCAGCCGGCATCCGCTCCGGCAGCCCTGGCCGGGGGTGCGGACAGCGCGGGGCGGCGGACGGAGCAGAGGTGCCCGCGGGGCTGCGTCGGGGGTGCAGGGCGGGGCAGCCGCCCGCAGGCTCTGGGAGGGGGGGCCTCCGCGGGGAGCGTGCTCGGCCGCCCCGGCTGCTTCAGGAGCCGCTTTCCCGTGGCTGCTGCCCCGAAGGCAGAGAAAATGAAGTGGCCCCTCATCTCGGCGCGGGGGGCTGCCTGGGCAGTGGTTGGGGGTCACACGGACAGGTGTCGGCTGTCCCTGCGGAGCCCACGTGCCCTGCCTGCCACCCCGCGGTCCCGCCTGGAGGCGCCTGCAGGGGATGGGGCCGCAGAGGCCGCAGCTGAGCCGCTGACGGGGATGGGGGGGGTCCCCTGGGGACTGCCGCCTACTGCCACGCCCTCTGCGTGCGGCGGGGCTCCGGCCACGCGGTGGCCTCCAGCCCTGTCCGCTGTGGCTGCCTGACCCGCGCCCCTCTGCCCACAGGGTACCGGGAGGGCTTTCTCTGGAAGCGGGGCCGGGACAACGGGCAGTTTTTAAGCCGGAAGTTCGTGCTGACCGAGCGAGAGGGAGCCCTGAAGTATTTCAACAGAAATGATGTGAGCCGGCGGGGGGGCGGGGCGGCACCTGGGGCGCATCCTGGCCTCCCCTTGGGGCCCCCCGACAGCGGCACCGTGTCCCCGGCTGCCCGCCTGCAGTTCTCAGGAACCACGCTCGCTTCCCTCCTCCTCCAGGACATGTTCCCTCCAACCTGGGGCCCTGGTCACTCCCTGGGACACAGAAGCGAACTCGTCCCTGGGGGGCACTCCCGGGCATCCGAGGGACAAGCGAGCACACGTTGGGGCAACGCTGGTTCCCCCAGGCAGGTGGGGGGAGGGGCCGGAAGGTCCCGCAGCTGGCGAGCCCCCCAGACCCGCTGAGGTCAGCGGGGCCTCGGCCTCTCCAGCCCCGGCAGCCCCCGGGCCAGGACGGGGCGGGGGCTGGGCAGACGGGAGCCTCTGCTGCAGGGCAGGGCGCCTGCCCAGGCGTTGAGGCCCCTCCTCGTCCCCTACGCGGGGGCGACGTTACCGTGGACGCACTGCCCGGGGCACCCAGGCCCCACGGAGCGCCCCGCCCCTGCCCGCCCCCGGGGCTTCGCGCCCCTGCCCGCCGGGCGCTGAGTCCCACCTTGCTTCCCAGGCCAAGGAGCCCAAGGCCGTCATGAAGGTGGAGCACCTGAACGCCACCTTCCAGCCAGCCAAGATCGGCCACCCCCACGGCCTGCAGGTTACCTACCTGAAGGACAACAGCACCCGCAACATCTTCATCTACCACGAGGACGGGAAGGTGGGCGCGCGCGCGGCCGTGGGGTGGGTCCTTCTCGCTCTGGCCGCGGGGCATGTGGCCCTGGCTGGCGCCGCGCTGACCTGCCCTTGTGTCCCAGAACGGGTGCTGTCGGCCGCGGGGTCCGAGCCTGGGCAGGCGGCCCGGGGGTCGTGCCCGCGTGTCCTGGTGGGGGCTCTGCCTCGGTGCCCGTCCGGGACACGGGTCCGTGGTTTCTCCCCTGTGGCTGCGTGTCTGGGTTGTGCTGGCCTCGGGGTGCGTGGGGACGCGGGTGGTGGCTCCTCTGAGCTCAGCGGCCTCTGCCCAGGGGCCGCGGGCCCGGGCTGTGCTGGGCTGGCAGGTGTTCACCCCGACTCGGTCTGTGGATGGGGGGCCGGGCCGCCCAGCTGCCTCCTCCTCTGTGGTTCGGTCGGGGTGGGTTTTGCGTTGCTAGGAAGCGGCATTTCATCCAGGCCGCCCGTTGCCGTTTCGGGGTGAAACTGTAGGATGTGCTCGTGGCCCCTTTCACTTCCGCGGCCTTGGCAGCGGCGCCCCTCTCCCCTCTGGTTTTTCTGGGATCGAGTCCCCCGGCCCCACCGTCCTGCCGGCTCAGGGCGCGTTGGTTCTGCGGGCGGTTTTGAAGGGCCAGTTCCTCTGTCTGTCCGTCCACCCCTTCCTTCATCTCGGCTCTCATCTCAACGGCTTCCTTCCTCCCTGGCGTCGGGCTCAGCGGCCGCTTGTCCTCGTTCCCCAAGCTGTAAGCCAGGCCGCTGATGTCAGCGCCAGCATCTGCGGGCGGGAACTTCCCTGCTGGCACCGTCTTCTCGCACCCCACTGATCTTGGGGTGCTGTGCTTTCGTTTTCATTTGTCCCTAAGTATTTCCTAACTTCCCTTGTGATTTCTTCTTTGATCTGTTGGTTAATCTCCACGATTCTGTGCATTTACCAGCTTTTAAAAAAATGTGTATTGAGTCGTAACTCCATCCGTTGTGGTCGCAGATGCTGTGTGTGACATTCCTCTTGTTGAAAATTTAGCCCCGGCGGGCGCGGCTCCGCGGACGGAGCGCCGGCCTGTGATCCGAAGGGTCGCCGGTGGGGTGCCCGGCCAGGGCACAGGCCGGGGTTGCAGCCAGGCCCCCAGTTGGGGGGTGGGCGAGAGGCAACCGATCCATGTTTCTCTCCTGCTCTTTCCTTCTCCCTTCCCCTCCCTAAAAAAAAATAAAATCTAAAAAACAATTTATATTTCATTGATTGTGCTATTACAGTTGTCCCAATTCGTCCCCCTTGGCTCCCCCTCCGCCCAGCACCCCCGCTCCCTCACATGTCCCTCACGTGTCCCCGCCCTTGTTCATGTCTGTGGGTCATGCGTGTAAGGTCTCTGGCCGCTCCGTTGCCTGTGCTGCACGCTACACCCTCACGGCTGTTCTGCGACGACCAATTCGTGCTTGGTCCCCTCCCCACCCCCCACATCGCCCCCGTCTGGCGGCCGTCCAGACGCTCCCTGCGTCCACGACTCTCTGTCCTTGTTTGCTTAGTTTCTTAGATTCAGTTGCTGAAAGATCCGTACTCACCGACACGTCATTGTTCATCTCCTGTTCATCATGATTTGATCGTTTTCTAGAGGAAGTTCCTTTAGCGGTTCCTGCGGGGGCGGTTCGGTGATGAGCTCCGGTGTCCGGGAAGCTCTCCCTCTGCCCTGCGGTTCTCACCGACCGACGGCGCCGCTGGGCAGGGCCCTCTGGGCTGCAGGCCCCGACGTCTCCTCACTTCGCACTCCTTGCCACTGCCTTCCGGCCTGGGCAGTCCCTTTTGAGAATCCGCTGAGTCTTATGGGGGCTCCTCTGTAGGCGACTCTCCGCTCTCTCTCACTGCTTTTACGATTCTCTTTTCCTTGGACTCCTGGAGCTCGTCTTGGGGGGCAGGGCGGCTGGGCGTGGCCGCCTCAGCTCTTCTTCCCGAGTGTCTTCGTTTCTGCCTCGCGTGGGAAGCGTGGTTTTTGCCTGACACAGGGGTTCTTGGTGGACGTTTTTTTCCTTTGAGCACGTCGAAGAGATGAGCCCTCTGGCCGCCTAGGGCCCGATGGGCAGCCGGCCTTCAGTCTTGCCGGGGGTCGGCCGGGTGGGGGCCCGAGGCCCCGTGCTCGCTGCTGCGCTCCCCCTCCCAGACTCCTCTGTCCACGGGCTGCCACGCCCTGCCCCCCGCCCCCGGGGTGCCCTTGAGCCCGGGCTCTGGCCTCGGCCGCCCCCCACCGCCCAGGGCAGGTTCGCCCAGGTCTGCACCCAGGCTCACGCCGTCGCGGCCACGCACACGCAGTCAGACCCCAGCAGGAGGGCGAACCAGCAGCTTCTCCTTCCGGAGCGAGGCTCTCCCGGGAGCCGAGAGCTCTCCCCAAGCCTGGTTCCCAGCGTGCTTAGGACCCCCCGGACCCTGCGCCAATGCGCCGAGGCCTCGGAGTGGGGCACCCCAGGGGCGAGAGCTCGGGCTGGGGGGCGCACATGCCCGCGGGCCCCGCGGCTGCACCTCGCTCCTGCCCTGCGCCTGGCCCAGGACGCGTTTCGCCCAGGCCCGCGGCCTCTCTCGGTTCGCTGCCTCCTGGGGGGCGTCTCTGGGGCCCGCGCGCCGGACTCGGTGGCTGGAGCCGGATGCTGGGGGCGGCTCCGCGCCCCTCGTTGCCCCACCCAGCCCTGCGGCCGCCCTTCCCGGCTCTCGGGTGTCAGCCTCGAGGCAACTCCCCTTCTGGTGGAACCGGCGTGACTCGCCCCGAGGGACCTGGCTCCAGGCCCCGGGACACTGAGCCGAGGGAGGGCAGCGCAGAGGGCGAGAGGGAGGCGCTGGGAGGGGCCGGACCCGGGATGGGCCTTGGGGGCCGGGGGGCGCTGCGGGGGTTCTGGGCAAGAGGCGCAGGCCCCCAGGCAGCCCCCGCCGAGAGGTGAGGCCCCGGGGCCCAGGCGGCGTCAGGCCCTGGACACCAGCCCACGGCGCGGTCTGCGTGGGGGGGTCCCCACCGCGGGGCCTCCCCGTCCCTCCGGGCCGCCCGGGTGCCCCTGGGAGGGGTTGGCCGGAGTAGGAGGGGCAGCCTGTCCTCCACCTCAGGCCAGGGCGCCGCCAAGCTGGGAGGTGGGGGTGGCCCGGAGGGGCCCGGCCGGCCCAGCCTGAGGCCTCGGCCCACACGCAGCCTCCGCCCCCAGGAGATGGTGGACTGGTTCAACGCGCTGCGAGCCGCCCGCTTCCACTACCTGCAGGTGGCCTTCCCGGGGGCCAGCGACGCCGACGTGAGTGGCTGCCGCTGCGGCTGCCTCCTGGGGGTGGGGCCGGGGCTGACCAAGGGCCCCCACGCACCCCCGAGGCCCCCTGGAGGGACCACAGCAACCCTCCTTGATTGAGTGGCGGGGGAGGGGCGGACTGGGGGCTGAGCCTGCCCTCCCCGCAGCTGGTGCCCAAGCTGACCAGGAACTACCTGAAGGAAGGCTACATGGAGAAAACAGGGCCCAAGGTGCGTCCACCGGCCGCCTGGGCCCCCAGGGACGCGCGTGGGGGTTGGCGCCCGTCACCCGGGGGCGGTTGCCGTGGAGGAGGAAGGTGAAGCCTTGGCTCACAGGCGTGTTCCTAGCGGGCCATCCTGGGGGGTGGTCACGGCCCCCACGATGTTTTGTAAGAGCGGGGGCCTCTCAGGTCGGGCCCACGCCTCTCCAGCCCCAGCCCCAAACGGGCACGTACCCCAGGGCCCAGGGACCCCACCATGCGGACCTCGCCTGGGGTGCGCTACGGTCAGAGGGTCGGGGGCCGGCCTCAGACCCGACTGGTCCTGGCCCTCCGGCCCCCAGCAAACAGAAGGCTTCCGGAGGCGCTGGTTCACCATGGACGACCGCAGGCTCCTGTACTTCAAGGACCCGCTGGTGAGGGGGGGGCCCGGCCCAGGGCAGCGGCGGCCGCGCAGGGCAGACCCGCCTCCTGCCCCCCGGCCTGACACAGGGCGGGCGCCGGTGGCCAACTCCCCAGGGGAAGGGGAGGGAGGCGCCCGGGGCCCCGCCCGGCTGCACACCACGCTGGGCCGGAGGGGGAGCTGCCCCGGAACAGCCCCCGCGTCCTCAGCCGCCTCCCCCTGCAGGACGCCTTCGCCCGGGGGGAGGTCTTCATCGGCAGCAAGGAGAGCGGCTACACGGTGCTGGACAGGCTGCCACCGTCCACCCAGGGCCACCACTGGCCGCACGGCATCACCATCGTCACGCCGGAGCGCCGGTTCCTGCTGGCCTGCGAGACGGAGGCGGAGCAGCGGGCGTGGGTGGAGGCCTTCCGGAAGGTGGTGGACAGGCCCATGCTGCCGCAGGAGTACGCAGGTGAGCGCCGGCCGGCCGGGGGCCACGCCCCCGCGCCCCCGCGCCCCCGCGCCCCCGCGCCCCCGCGCCCCCGCGCCCCCGCGCCGTGACAAAGCCCGCGCCTGTCCCTTTCCAGTGGAAGCCCACTTCAAGCATAAGCCCTAGCGAGGGACGGTCCCGGAGGCCTGAGGAACATGGATGCGGCGACGTGGCAGGGGCCGGACGGCAGGGCCTGCGGACCGAGGAAGCAGCCGCTGGCGCCGGGGCAGCCCGGGACCTGAGTGGCAGCCGCTGGCGCCCGCGTCTCTGAAGCCTCCTCCGTGGGCTGCCCGCCCCCACCCGCCGGGCCACCCTTCCCAAGGGCCCAGCAGCCCCTCCCTGACTCGCCCTGCCCCCCGCACAGGCACCCGCCCGGCCCGGGGCTCGACGGGGCTGCGGGGGGCCTGCATGCCCCCCTCAAGAAGTATTTATTGAGCATCGGCTGGGTGTCACTCTTGGGGTCCCGGGGCTGGAGGGGAACGCGTGGTCCTCACCCTCGGCTGACCTGGAGGCACGTGGGTCCTGGGGTCAGAGGCCTCCCGGCCGCCTGCGCCGGGCCCTGGGGGCGCCTTACTGTCCAGGCGCTGCCCGGCGTTCACCCCTTTCCCGGCCTGACCTCACCGCCGCGGCCCCTTGAGGCTGGAGGCCCGAGCCCCGCCCACCCCCGTGGCCCCGCCCCTCAGCGGCTGCGCCACCGACACCCTCCCCGGTGGGGACGTGCCTGGGAGAAGGGGGTGGTGCGGACTATGGGGGGGGAGGGGTCCTGACCCCGTCCTGCTGCCCCTGCCCCCGTGTCGCCCCAGAGCGAAGCAGGGCCTGAGGGGCCTGGGTTGAGGGCTTGCCCCGAGCAGGTGGGGGGGCTCCTCAGGACAGATGGGGCCCAGTCCTGTCCCAAGTCACCCAGGGGCCACCTCCCTCGCCAGCTCAGACCGGCTGCGAGCCTGGGCTGGCGCTGCGGCCGAGGGGCCCGGCCCCCCACGGAGCCCAGCTGACAGGCCCCCAGGGCGCAGGACAAGGGGCGAGGGCCCCCTCCTGACCAGGGCCTGCTGCAGCCGGCCGGCCGCCGTCCACTCCCCCCGCCTGAGATGAGCCCTGGGCCGGCCTCCCGGCCCCTCCCCCAGGCCCGGACGCAGGGCGCCCACTCTGCACGCGCACGTGTCCTGGGCTCGTGCGCCGGTGCGCGCGGCGCCGCGTGCGCCCCTGCAGGCCGGGCCGGGAAGCCGACCCCGCGAGCAGCCCCAGCGCTCGAGGGAACCGCACCAGGACCAGCAGGGAGGGTCCCTCAGAGCCGGGCAGGAGGCCTGCCCCGCACGGCTGGTCTCGGGGCTCCCCGCGCCCCTGCCTGGATGAGGCCAAGCCCGTCCTGGGCTGAGGGGCCGCACAGGCCCCGCTCGCCGCCCAGTCCTACCGGCTGGACCCCCGTGGGGGGTGGGGGCAGGGACGCTGCGCTCCCGGGAAGCCACCGCGCCGCGGGGGCTGTGAGTGACGGCCAGGACACCGCCAGGGCAGGTGCGGGGCCTGTGCGGCCGCTCAGCTGGCACTGGGAGCGTGTCGGAGCCCCTCCGGGGTCCAGCCGCCCGGAGACCTGCGCCTGTGCCCACGCCCCTCAGGGTGCGAGTCCAGCCGGCGCACCTCCCCCACGCCCCCCACACCACCTCCTCCCCAGGGGCCCCGCGGGCAGCTGAGGGCCTCCCAACCTCACGTGCGGAAACCGCGCCCCTTCTCCTGTGGGCAGATTTGGTTCCTCCAAATTGAAACAGAGCGGGGCCTCCCCGCACTGCCGTCCACTCCGCCCGCCCGGCCATGCCCTGGAGCCCGCTCAGGAAGAGCCAGTGCTGCAAAGCCCAGTATAAAGGGTTTATTTAAACTCAACAATTAACACAAACCTTCCTTTAAATCCCATTTTTACAGTGAATAGAGTTGCATACGTTGCATCTTCCATGCATGATCACTGTGCATTAATCTACAAGTCTTAGTTTTAATTGTGAAAAAATAAAGCGTGTCCTGTCTCCATCGCCGGGGAGCGCCTGCGGCCGTGAGTCCGTTGGCCGGGCCGCCCACTCGCTCCTGGGCTGGTCGTGTGGCTGGAACCTAGGACGCGGGGCGGAGGCAGCGCCGCCCGGGGAACCGACACGGCACCACGAGGCGCCACCTGCAACCTCTGGACGTGTACACAGGGCCCGGCAGCAGCCACGGTGCCCGGGGTGTGGCACGGGGCCACCGGCCACCACGGGACGCGCACGTGGGGACGGCCCAGCGGCAGTGCCCCTGCACCCAAAGCAAACCAGAAACACAGGCTGGGGGGGCGGCCCGCAGGCCTGTGCTTTATTGGGGGTCAATCGGAGGCCACGCGCAGCTGCTGCAGCCTCGGCCCCGGAGCCGCGCCGGCGGAGGGCGGCGTCAGTCCAGCTCGATGGGGCTGCTGTCGTCCTGGCTGTCCTCGCCCTCCTGCTCCGAGGAGCCCATGAGGCTGCTCAGGAGGTTCCCTGGAAGCAGACGCACCGTCAGGGGCCCGGCAGCGCCCACCCGACCACGCTCCCACCCCGGCCTGTGGCCCCGCAGCGGGGACCCCTCCACGGGGGGCACTCGGAACATTCGCAGCAGGTCTTGCCAGCGGGGACGCAGCCTGGCCGCCCGGGGGGAGCCCGAAAGGTCGTCACAGAAGCCCAGGGTCAGCCCGAGGGCAGGCTGGACGTCACGTGCGCACACACGTCGGTTTGCGCGCCCAGGTTTCACCGGCTGCACAGAATGTTGCCGCCTGCCACCCGCCACGGGCAGTCGCCGCCGACACTTCGGCTTTTCGCGTCTCTAACTTTTACCCGAAGAACCACGGCTGCGTTAACACCAACTCAGTTTAAAACGTCCCTGTAAGCCAACCACCACGGAACACACACGTGGGGAGACGCAAACCCCACTGTGGACAGGGGGCCGCTTCCCCGGACCCGCGCGCCAGCCGTGAAGGCCGAGGCTGGTTCTGGACACTGCGATGGGGCATGTGGCTGGGGCCGAGCCCAACGACACGGCCACAGCGAGCGGACACGTCACCGTCATGGGGGTGCGGAGGGAGCTGCGGGTGCAGGTGCGTATCAGCCACAGGGGACACGCAACACATAAGGCCTGCGCTGAAAGGGACACTGCTTTCCCACCCGCAGAGGCAGGAAGCCCTCCTGGGGGCGCACGCGGCAGCGAGCCCGACGGGGAGCGTTGGCCGGCTGTCCAGGTGCCGCCACCAACCCGAGGGAGGAGCCCCGCCCGGCCCGCTTGCCCGGCGCCCACAGAAGCAACGGGCGGGCAGTGGGCGTGGAGGAGCCGCCAGGCGCCTGCGGTCACTGCTGTCCGGCCCCCGGGGGCATGTGCGCTGAGCCGGGGACGGGGGCGGGGGCGTCCCTGCTCGGAGGAAGGCGGGGGCTCACGTCTGAGCGGGGAGGCGGCAGCCCGCGTGGCGCCACGGCGCGAGGCCGCGCCAGGTGGGGCGGGACACGGGGCAAAGGCCCGATCTCGAAAGGGCCGACCACGGGCCTCCGACACCGGCTGCGACGGCGCAGCAGACACGCGGGCGAGACCCGCGAGGAGCCCGGCCACGGGGCAGGGGCCACTGCACCCCTGCCTCCCAGGGACGTGTCCCCGCTCGGCCGGGAGACCAGCACGACCCAGCCCCCGACGAGCGCCGCGGCAGAGCCCCCACCAGCGCCCGGGCATGACCCCGGGGCGACAGCACCCGTCCTGGGACGCGAGGGTGCGCCCCGCGGACGGAGCGAAGAGGAGCCACGTGATTGTCTCAGCTGATCCACGAGGGGCACCTGATGGAGCTCGGGGCTCACAGGTGCAAACCCTCAACAAGGCAGGCGCGGGAGGCAGCGGCTGCCACGCGCTGAGGACCAGGCGGGACGAGCCGCAGCCGAGCCCGCTCCGCGGCGAGAGCAGGCGCGCGCAGCACGGCCCCGCCCTCCCGGCCTGGGCCCGCGAGCAGGGAAGGCAGGAAAGGCAGCCAGACTGGAAGGGAAAAGGGGAAGCACCTGTTGGCAGACGCTGTGCCCGTACGTGCCCCAAACCCCGACGACGCCAGGAACTGCTACAACTGATGCAGGAATTCAGCAAAGTTGCAGGACACAGCACCGACATGCAAAAACTACGTGCATTTCTATACAGTGACAGTGAACAACTTTAAACAAGACTTAGAGAAACAGTTCGATCTGTAATAGCACCAAAGATATTTAGAAAGGACATGTACAGTGGAAAACGCAAAGGTTGCTAAGAGAAACGCAAGACGATATAAATGAAAACACACCCCCGTCTACGGAGCAGAAGGCCGCAGACAGCGACAAGGTCAGCGTCACCCAAAGCGACCTGCAGGCTCCGTGCGGTCCCGCCCTCTCCACAGTGCCAATGACATTTTCTGCAGAACCAGGAGAACCCATCCTGAAATCCCTACAAATTTCGAGGCAGCCACGCGGCCAGACCGGCCTCGACAGAAAGGAACGAAGCTGGAGGCTCCTGTGTCCTAACCCCACACGAGGGGAGCAGCCCCCGGCGGGAGCAGAGACCCCGGGGGCAGGGCCCGGAGGACACACGGAGGAGAGACCCGCCTTCAGGTCGGGGCCGGACACACGTGGGAGGGAGGAGGTCAGACCCTTAAGTCGTGCAGACAAAAAAAAGAACTAAAAACGCTCCCCAGATCAGATGCAAGAGCTGACATGCTGAAAGGCTGCGGTGACAACAGATGACAACACGGGACGCTGCCCGACCTTGGACCCGGAAGGGTTTCTTGGGTATGACACCAAAGGCACAGGATAAAAAAAACACAACAGAATTTCACGGAACTTTAAAAAACCTGTGCAGCGAAAGACGCCATCAAGAGAGTGAAACGCCAGGGGGCTGGGAGCACACGGGCAGAGCAGAGGACGCGCGGCGGCGACAGCCCGGGGCGACCCCAAGGCGGGGTCACCGCACCCCCACCACGCGGGTGGCAGGGGCGGCCCCAGGGTTGGGCAAGGGGGTCCCGTGTGGGCTCATGGGCAGCGAGGGGGGCTGAGGGGGGCTGCGAGGGCTGCATGTGTGGCTGAGTGGTGGGTGGGAGCCTCTGAATTTTGCTGTGAACCTAAAACTGCTTTAAAAAGTCTTAGAAAAGATAAACCCACAGAACAGGAAAAATATTTGCAGTATGTCATCTAGGAAACCCAAACAATCCAACCGGAAAGCGGCCACAGCGAGGGCCATGGAGCCCAGGGAGGGCGCCCCACGTCCCCCACCCCCGGGGACGGCGAGACACCACCGCCCGCCGTGAGGGGGGCAGCTTCCAGCACACAGGACACGCAGGCCTCGTGCGCGGCGGGCGGGGCCGCGCGGAGGTTCTCCGAACGATCGGGCAGAACCACCGCAGGACCCAGGCCCGGCAGGCGGGACGGCAGCCGATTGCACACTCAGAGGTGGTGCAATGGCACGTCTCACGTTCCACGTATTTTACCACAATAAAAAAAGCCGGAAGGGAAACCTGGCCGCCTTCCTGCGGCCCTGGCAGCTGCGGGGTAGGGGGGGTCCCGGGGGGGGGGCCTCAGGACGCCGCGGCGGCGCACAGCCTTACCTAGCAAGCCTCCGTAGGAAGACGTCTGCTTGGGCGGCACCCCGAAGAAGAGCTGTCCTATCCTGTCGAGGTACTGAGGGGCGGGCACACCGTGAGGGGCCGCACAAGACCCCGCGCCCGGGCCCCGCCCGCCCCGCCGGGGGCCGCCCTCACCTCGTTGTACATGGGGTCCCGCCGCAGGGACGGCTGGTACTGCTCGCACAGCACAGTGAACACGGTCAGCTTGCCCCTGGAACCAGACAACGGGGGCACAGCTCTGCGGCCCGCCCAGAACCAGGGGCAGGACGGGGAGCCCCGGGGAGCCTGCACCCGCGCCCACTCACCCGTCCACGGCCAGCAGCAGGAACCAGAGGAAATTGAGCAGCGGCCGCACGAACGGAGGCCCGTCCTCGATGGACGGGTGCTTCTGGGTGTATGTGGTGAACACCACCGACGCGCTGCTCTTGTTTTTTAAACAGAGAAACCTGGGGGGTGAGAGTGCGGCCTCAAGGGGCGTCCAGGGCCTGCTGACCCAGGGCGCCTGGCCGGCCGGGGCTCCACAAGGCGCAGCTGGGGGGAGCGAGGCCGTGCGGGGCACGTGTGCAAGGCCGGCACAGGTGTGGGCGCCGCTCCCTGCGTGGGCGCGGTCGGCCCTGGGGCCCAGGTTCGAGGCTCGGGGAGGCCGCCTCCCCACAGGGGCAGGCGGAGGTGTGGGCAGCCGCAGTCAGTCCCCATTTTTAAGGCACAAACGGGGACCCACGAGAAGGAGGCTCACAGAGACAGAGAAAACGTCTCCCCCAAACGCCCCGGAGCCGGTGCCTGCGAACTTGGGACGGTAAGACACGCCCTGCGGTGCCAGCTGCGCGTGGCAGCCCTCAGGCGCGGGCGGGTCCCCCTCAACTCACAGGACTCCCAGCCCCAGTGCCCGGCCTCCACGCCGAAGCGTGTCCGTGGGAGGAAGCGAACAAATCCCGCGTGAAACGCTCCCATCAGGACGAGGACGGGCTCGGGCGGAGACCAGGCCGGGCCCCCGCGCCGCCGGCCCCGCGGCCGTGCGTGTCGGCCCTTCCAGACACACCGTCGGAAAGAGCAGAGGGCGGGCAGGGCCCAGGGACCGGGCCCGGGCCCGGGCCCGGGCGGGGGGCCGTGCCCGTGGGGTCGCGGGGACGCGGAAACCCCCGCGTGGAGCGGCAAGCCCAGGCTTTGAAAAGGCCTCCAAGCCCTGCGCACACCGCGTTTCCAAGCACCAAACCTGCCCCTTACGCCTCCTGCACAGAAACGCTGCCTCTTGCTCAAAAGAACGAAAGCCCGAGGGCACGGGGCAGAGAGGACAGGAAGATGGGGCCGTGGGACCCCAACGCGGCCCCCGCCCCACAGCCCAGCCGAACCCCCCAGCGGCACGACTCCTGGGGGCTGCGAGCAGCGCGGCCCGCGGTCGGGCGGACGCGGGCACCTACTGGAGGACGGCCTGGGCCACGAACATGTCCACCTCGCTGCGGAAGCCCCGGGCGGCGGAGTACTCCACCAGCATGTTGGCGCAGCCTTCGCCGTCGGTGGAGTGCAGGAAGTGGTACCGGGACTCGCAGTAGTTTTGTTCTACGGAGAGAGAGAGCGGCTGTGAGCACGGGCGTCCGGCGCCTTCCCAGACCGGCCGGCGAAGGGTCGCCTGTTCGAGCCCCCAGCGGGGCTCACGCCGAGCCGCGGGGTTCGGTCCGGGTCAAGGGTGCGAGAGGGAGCCGACCGGTGTTTCCCTCCCTTCCCCTCTCTCTGAAACATAAACAAAACATTAAAAGGAAGTCAAGACACGTCCTGCTCCAGCTCCCCTCCGTCAGGCTGCGCCCCCCGCGCGGAGGCGGGCACAGGCCAGCCCCGCGAGTCCCTCGGGCCCTGGGGCCCCGGTGCAGCTGCTGCGAGGGCATGCGACGCCGCGGAGCTGGCCCTAGCGGGCTCCCGCCACGTTCATGTTGGTGGCACCCTGAGACCCACCCTGAGCCGCCCATGCTGCCTCGGGGGCCCGGGGCCCCTCCCACATGCTCGCCGGCCCCTCTGAAGCCCAGGAGGCTGCGGGGGGCGAGCGGGAGTCGGGCCGCAGCCGGGGCCGGGCTGCACTCGCCGACAGGTGTGGGGGCCCCGGCTGCCCGCCATGGGCCCGTTCCTCACGGAGCTGTGCCCAGCGCGGGGGACACCCGGGTCCGAGCCACGGCTGCCAGCCTGGGGAACAAGGTCCTGAAGGGGGGGCCTGTGGGGGAGGCAGGGCCACCTCCAGGGACCTGGGGACTCCTGAGAGCAGGGGACCCCCCTGTACCGTCATGGCCCAGCCTCACGGCCCGTCCCGGGGGGATGGCTTAGCTGAGAGGGGACCGAGGGGCACAAGCGTCGGCGCCGGGCCCTCCTCACACCTGCCGCAGCCGAGACGCCTGGTGGCTTCTCTCAGACAGAGCCGCGGAGGCCGCCCCGGGCCCGCGCGCAGCAGACCCACCTCTCCACAGGGTGAGGGCCAGCAGCTGGTGCAGCCGGGGGTGGCCCAGCCTCCCGGACCCGCCGCTGGACCACTTCAGGGCTCTGGACACAAAGGCCACCCGCTCCGGGGAATTCGGGTCCATGAGGCTGAAGAGCTTCGCCAGGTTTTCTGGAAGCGACACACACAGGCCCTCGTGCAGAGCGGCGAGTGTGGCCTCCGTGCCTCCCGCACACATCCGGAGGGGGGCCCCCAGCCCTGCGGGCCCCGGCCCCCGCCCCCGCCCCCGGGAGCCAGCCCGCTGCGGGGAGGCTCACCCAGCAGCTCCTCGGCCACCTGCACCTCGGCCTTCTCCAGCGACTCCAGGGCCAGCATGGACAAGTCCGCCGCGCTGTTCTGCTACACGGTGTGGAAGCAAACGCGGGTCCCGCTGTTAGAAAGCTGCGTGTTCCAGAAACCCCGTCCCTGCGGCCGAGCAGGGACGCCCCCGGCTCACCTGGCCGTGGCTGAAGAAGAGCAGGGCTCCCGAGCACATGAGCTCCCGGGCCTCCACGTGCTTGTTCTGTGACATGTACCTGCGGCCGAGCACATGGGGCAGGGAGCCGGTCACGCCCGGCCGCACACCAGGGGCCGCCGGCTGGGGGTCCTGCGGAAGCGCCCACCGCCCCCAGGCACGGGGCCCGACACCCACCGCATGGCACCCGCAGGCCTGGGCCCCAGCTCCCTCTGGGCGGACCCCCAGGACCGCAGCCGCTCTCCGAAGGGGCCGCCAGGCCGGCCTGTCTCCGCGCGTCCACCACACACGCGGGACTTGCTCACCGTGGGCAGCGAGACGCGATGCCTGGGAGACAGCAGCCCCAGGCGGGGCCGCTGGCGTCCGGGGAGGGGCCGAGGGGCAACGCCGAGCCCCCAGGACAGGCTGGCCCCGCCGCCCGGGCGCGCGGCGACCCCCGCGCGGCCGCCGGGGAGCTGGGAGAGGAGAGGAGGGCGAGAGGCAGCCACGAGGGCGACAGCGGAGGGAGCACTGGCCGCAGGCGGGGCCGTCGCACCAAAACCGGGTCTGGCCGCAGGACGTCACCGCACGGCCCTGCATCTTGCCTTCGTTCGCTGATTTTGCTCTTATTCTTTTATTTTTAAAAGACTTTTTTTAGAGAGGGGAAGGGAGAAAGAAACAGAAGCACCCACGTGTGGCTGTCTCACGTGTCCCCCGCTGGGGACCCAGCCAGCACCCCAGACCTGTGCCCCCGACTGGGGGTCGCACGGGCAACCCCCCTCGGTTCGCAGGTCGGTGCTCAGTCCACTGAGCCCCACCACCTGGGGGTCTTGTTATTGTTCTTAAAAACAGCACCATGCCCAGCAAGACGGACCCCGTGTGCCTCCCCCAAAATCCACAACTTGTCACCCCCACAACTCCAAAGCCCCCCCCCCCACAGGAGCCCTGAGAGGCCCCGACACTGGACACTGGAACGGACCCGCGCAGGGCGCGCCCCGGCGCCTGTGGGCCAGCCCCGCCCGCGACAGCGCTGCTCGCGGGCCCCAGAGGGTGCGGTGGCCGCGGGGCAGCAGCTCGAGCCAGGCCCCGCCCCCCGCCCCGCGAGCACGTGCGGGGAGCGCCACCTGCTGGAAGACGGAGGAATGGCTTCTCATTGCCAACCTGAGTTCATTCAAATCCAACAGGCACCTGAGTAAAAACGATCTGAAAGACCAGGAACAGCAAGGCCGCCCGGGAAGAACGCGGCACGTGTCCCGAGACCAATCGCAAAGCCGGGGAGGCAGTGCCCGAGGGCAGAGCGCTCCCAGCAGCCGCCGGTCCCTGCGGCCCGGCCCGGCCCGGCGCAGGGCTCTCAGGGGGCAGCCGCCTGCGCGCGGGAGGAAAGCGCCGGACCGGCGCCGAGCCCGAGCAGGGGAGCGCGCGTCGGGGACGGCAGCCGGAGGCCGGCCCGTAGGACGGGCCGGTGCGGTGGCAGGACTTGGGAGAGGGTCCGCCCGCGGGACGGAGCCGGTCCTGGGAGGGCGAGGAGGGAGCAGGAGCCGCACGGGAGGAAGGACGGAGAACTTCCCAGATGCGGGGAGGCCTGGCGACCTCGACGCCAAAGACCTTCTCCAGGACACAGACTATCAAAACTGTCGAAAGTGAGTGACCAAAAGGGGTAAAGAGAAAAAAAATAAAAGCGTTCTCAAGGCGGGGGGGAGGGGGAGGAGCAGACAGGGACCTAGAGATGCCACCAGGTCGCAGGCTTCCCAGCAGACACTCCCAGCCGGGAGCAGCCAGAGGGAGCCGAGAGCCACCGCCAGCTGCGCCGCGACCGGCAAGGTCGACCCTGTTCACGCGGGAAGGAGACGCAAAGGCTTCTGCAGAGGGACACTGAGGGGTCTGCACAAACCTTTCGGGGGACAAACCCACAGAAGCAAAAAGTTGCAACTGTGATTCAGAACAGTGTTACACACTTAATCACAGTGTAAAAGTTGAAGAGAAAAAGGAGCATTAACGTAACTATCGCTGCTCCAGTTTATCAGAAGTGATGAAGGAACAACGTAGCAGGAGACCATCGGTGACAACAGAAACACCGACAGGGAGGAGGCCGGGGGACCTGGCACAGGCCAAGAGAGATAAGCAGCGAGGGGAAGACAAAGAGCTGCTTTATCCGCGGCCGCTCTACCGCCCTCGCCGCAACCACAAAGCAAACATTCCGAGCTGGGACGGGAAACGTGGAGAGAAAACAGGGAAACGTCAGAGAAAACCCCAACCTGCAGCCGCAGCCAGAAGCGCAAGGGGAGGGAAGGGGCGGCAGCAGCGCCAGAGCGATCGGGACACACGAGCCGCTGTGCCAGCCGCAGCCGCGGCCCCTCCCGGCCAGCGAGGCGGGACCGAGCGCCCCGGCCTCCGGGGACCGGGGTGCAGCCGCTGCGGGGGGCCGCGTGACCCCAGGACTGAGAACCTAACGAGAGACAAAGACAGACGTTCTACACGGAGAGGCGGACGACCCATCCAGACAAAACGACGTCTGTGAAGGTGTCAGCAGAGCGAGGCCCGAGGAGACGGGCCTGCCCACTGCCTCCCCGGGGGGGACAGAGGCAAACGCTGAGCCGAGCTCAGCCCAGGGACCAGCGGGACCAGCGGGACCAGCCGGCAGGGCCAGCAGCCACACCCACTCCCGGGACACACCCCAGGTGACACCCCGTGGCCGAGCCGCCCAGTTCCAACTGCGCAAAGGAATGGAAGCAGCGCAGAGCGGGAGCTGACCCAGGGGGTGGGCGGGGGCCGGACTGTGTCCAGCCCACCCTGGGCCGCCGCTGGGCAAGGCAAACGTGCCGCTGTACACGCAGCGAGTCTCGAAATAACCACACCGAGGGGACTCAACACGTCAGCTAGACCGGACCCCGCTTACACAGAACTGTAGACGGTGCGAGGCGGTCGACGGCGCGGGCCGTGGAGCCTGGGGCGCGAGGGGAGCCGGTGCAGGGGGTGACAGCGTGGTCAGAGGTGACACGCAATTCAGTGTCTCGATCGGTCACTGCTTCACCAGTGTAAACGTGTGTGAAAACTGGCCCAACCGTACGTTTTACGCAAATCCTCACATCCGGGTGTCTGCACACGTGTGCTTGTGGACAGGTGTTAAAGAGTGAGCGTGACGCGGTGCGCCCGGCTTCCCAGAGCTGTGCACGGGGCAGGCCCCGCAGGCGCTGCGGTGTGGAGGGTCAGGGACACCCCAGCCTGGGGCGGGGTGGGGGGGCTCCGATTACTCGCCCCCAACAAGGCCCACGGTTGACCGTTCACTTCTCAGGACGCCTGAAGGGGCAGCGGGGCCCCTAAAATAACCCATGCAGAAGCCGGGGCTTGGAGGGTTAACGAGGGGCCGGGCAGGGTGCAGGCCCACCAGGAGCAGAGGTGGGCCGCAAACCCAGGCAGCCGTCACCGCAGAACTGGCTCAGAACAAGAAACAGCGTGTTTGTTTTGGGGCGATCCAGTTTTGTTGATTAATCGCCGGGACAAACAGTGACGCAGGAGTCTCAGGACCGTCCAGCACCAGGCCGGCCTTGAGGCTACAGCCGCTCCCACTGCGGCCCCGCTGGCGCTGGCGGGCCGAGGACGGGCGCAGCGCCCACCCCCGGCCTGCCTGTGGGTCCCTTAAAGACCCATCCACGCGCCATCCAGCTGCGCAAGCTCGGTCTGCGGGACCGGGTTTACTCCAAGCAGAAACTGGTCAGCTAAAGCCAGGGCGGACACCACCCCCCGAGGGCCCGAGACACTGATTCAACTGCCCAAAGAAAAAGCCTGGTACCCGGGCCTCGTGGTGCCAAGGGCGAATCCCGCGAGTCACGGGCGGGACCCACCTTGGATCAGACAACCGGCCGCGAACCGCAAAGCGTCGCATGGGGTGTCGGTCACTCACAGGCGGGCCGTCCCCATGTTAAAACGGTGTGACGAGGAAAGCAGTTGCTGTGGGACGTAGGGACCCCGCGACACCGCGCCCAAGGGAGCCGGGGCGCCGGCCGCGCAGCGCGGGAGCCGGTCACTCAGCCCCCAAGGCCGCTCCTCGGGGAACGGCGGCCCCACGGGCACACGGGCGCTGCGGCACAGCCCAGCGCACGTGGCCGGCAGCCAGCGCAGGTGCCCCCGCCGCGGCGGGCGGTAAACAGCGCTGCTTCGGCCGCTACGCCGAGCGGACTGAGGGCACCGGAACGGAAAGCGAACGGGCCGGATGCCGAGTGGGAGGAAAACCGCGAGACTCCGTGTGCGGGCTTCCGACGCCGCGGCGCCCGGGGGACCGGCCGGGGGTGGGCAGAGCGAGCGGGGGCGAGGCCGGGGCGCTCCACCCGCCGCCGCACGGCCGCCCGTTCCCACGGCTCGGCGGCGGGCAGCGGCGCGGGCCCGCGGGCGGGGACCCCCGGGCGCCGGCGGCGGGCAGCGGGTACCTGAAAAACAGGGTCCGGTACATCTGGTGCGCCTCGTAGTAGTCGCCCTTCTCGACGCTGGCGCGGAGCTTGCCCTCCACGCGCTGGACACCGCCGCGGTTGCGGGCGCCGTTGCGGGCGCCCTCCTGCTCGGCCATGGCCATCGCCGCCGCCGCCGCCGCCGCCGCCGCCGCCATGGGCCGGCGCTCCGCGCAGGGGTGACGCTGTCGCAGGCGCGGTGGGCAGCGGCTCTCGGCTCCCGTCCCGGCGGCCCCGACGTCCTCTACGGTGGCCTGCGAGGAGCCGCGCGCGGCCACGTGACAGCGGGTGGGGGCTGCCACGTGACCGAGGCCTGCCCCACCCCGCAGGCGGCCACGTGACCGTGGCGGCGCGCTGACGCCGCTGGGCGCGCCGCTGCGTCGGAGCGGCGGGCCCGGCGCCCCCGGCCGTGGGCCTGGGGCAAAGCTGCCACGGGTTTCAGCCGTTTCCGCGGCGCGGGGCCGAGCCTCCAGGGCGCTCCGGGTGGCGGCGGGCGGGCGCCGGACACTGGCAGCGCTAGGTCCGTACCCGCCGGGCGCGGGCGGGTGTCGCGGCCCCGCGGACGGCGGCCACTCTCCCCCGAGCGGCTCACGCGCGCGGGCCTCGGAGCCCCCCACGGCCCCGGTCTCTGCGGGGCAGCTGCTGCCGGAAGGAAGCCCGCGGTGGGCGGGCGCCCCCCGGCCTGTCTGCGCTCCGGCCTCGCTCGCGCGGCGCCAGGCGCCCAGTCGGCCGTCGGAGGCACCGGAGGAACGCCGCCTGGTCCGGCCGGGCGGGGAGCCCCGGGACGGAGCCGCTTCCCGGAGGCGGCGCCCTCCCGCCGCCCAACCCGGCGCCGAGCCGCCCCTCCCGCACAAACGACGCACGCCGACTAGAAACAGGTGGTTTTATTATTCATCGGAAGTATCCCATGCACTTTCAAAAATTAAAACTCTTTATTTAAACATTTCAATAGCATCTTAGTTCGGTGGCAGCAGCAGGAGCACTACCAGAGACAGGTATTTGGAAAAGCATTTACAAAAATACACCGCACAAAGTCCTATCTTGCATCTTTAAAAATAAATTAATATTCAAAATATGTCCACCCCAACTCCCAAATTTAGTTTTATATAGGAAGTTCTGACATATATTTATCCTGTAATATATGAAACATCTGTATACACTTTCGACCAACTCAGCTGCATAGGCATTAGTTCCAATTCTGAGTGAGTGACAATAAGAGCCATAGTTTTTGCGTATTTCAGGACTGTTGTGCAATATACATAAAACGCCAGACCACTCAGCATCATCATTTTTCTCTCTGAAAATACACTTACGTTACACCAACAAACTGTCTCAACCCAATAAAGCTTAAATAATTTTTAAGGTAAAACGTGTAACACCGCAAGTGCCCTGTGGCTAGCTCATTATATTATAAAGTCTGCTCCGTTAAACAGTGTCAATATTAAATACTAATTATAACCCAAACGAGTGTCACGATGAGGAACGGGGGAGCGGCGGCCGCCCTCGGGCCGGCGGGTCCCAGCGGCGCGGCGGGTGCTGGGCCGGGCGCACGGCGCTGCGGTGGTTTGACTCGGCCGCCAGCTGGGCCTGCTCCGCGGATGCCGCCCGTGTAAAGCAACCTTCTGAGTGACTCAGTGTTAGTGTTTGCTTTTCATCAAAACTCAGAAGCCTGGAAGGGCCCTAAGGCTGGATTTCCGGTTCCCTCCCACCCACCCAGTGACGTCACCGGCCCCAGGGGCCTGCGCCCTGCCGCCCCGCCACCCCTCCCCGTCCTAGCGCAGGGAGGTGCCCCGGTGTTCCCAGAGTAGACTCGGTGGAGCAAACTAACCAGAAAAACACATTTTTGCCATTTCCCCACCTGGTGACGTACTACCCGTGCCGAGGGAGGGACAGATCCCACCTTAAAGGAAAGAGGTCAGAACTGAAATTTGCTGTCATTCATTTTCCCTGAAAAATGTGTGCTGGATTGAAAAGCTAAACTATATGCTCCCGAAGTCCTTTAAGGGGCCAGTGAACGGCTAAGCGTAGAAGCTTCAAGAACACGTCAAACCTTTTAATCTCCCTTGCTTTGTTCCTGATGTCAAGAAAATACGAATATAAAGAGCTTTGTGTTTAAAAACAAACCCCCCCCAGTGTCTTTGTGAACCATACATTCAAACAGAGTCCGAGACCACCTGCTGCTGACAGAGCTCTGTACCCAAGCCCTCGGCACGGCCTCCTGCGCCGGCGGTGGGCCAGGCCGGCCCGTCGCCCCCCATGCCCGCGTCGCGAGGCCTGAGCCTCGGGCTGTCCAGTATATACAAGATGTACAGTGGCAGTGGCGCGCGGCGGCTCTACTGCGCAGGCTCCCCGTGGACTCGGAACCGGTAGAGACACGTGTACTCCGGGTGGCCCCAGTTCGAGGAAATCCGGAGTTCCACGATTTGGAAAGCTCTTTCAGGTCGCTTCTGAAATCAAAGGGGAGACGATGAAACACACACTTATGGATACAAACACTCCCAAGCCCAGTCGCCTTCCCCATAATGACATCTGAGAGGAGGGCCAAGCTGGGAACGATGTGCCCAGGCATCCAGCGCAGGAAACAAAGCTCAGGTGAAACTGGCTCATCACGAGCTAGACCTTGCAGGGAACAAGCCTGTCCTGAAGAGGCTCCTTCAGCAACAAAGCTCGGCACGCGGCGCCCCGTTCCCTGGAGGCTGACCCTGACACCCTGCTCACGGAAGGGGACGGGGCCTGTGGGGGCGGCGGAGGAGCTCACCGGGACCGGGAACGTCTGGAGTGACTCCCCATCTTGGTCGAACACAAACTGTCCCAGCAGCTGCCCTTCCTCTTGATACTCGTTTTCTAGCCCCTGAAACCAAAACGAGACCGTCATCGACTCACGGAACGTGGGGCCGACAGCAGCCACAGGCTGAGGGGCCGGGCCCCAGCGGCGGGCGGGCGGGCAGGGGCGAGGAAACGAAGTTCTCCAGGCCCACCCACGTGCCGCCAGTGCGCCCTCCCGGGAAGGAGGGCCAGGCTTCCCAGCACGTCTGACCTGCCTGCACGCAGCAGGCCCAGGCCAAGGGAGGATAGCCGCCACAGCAAGGACACGCGCCACTGCGTGGCGGGCGCAGCTCTGGGAGCCACCTGTGGGGGGCGGGGGGCGGGTACACTCACGTAGACGGAGAAGTCCCTGGGGGCGCTGGTGATGTTGCCCGTGGGCGACAGCGTCTTGGGGATGTGCTCCAGTGCAAAGCTGGTCGGGCGGACCTCCATCGACAGCCGCACCACGAGGTAGCCCTGGGAGCCCCTGAACGCCCAGCAGTTCCCTGGGTAGATGTCAGGCTGTGGGAGACCAAACATGGGACTCAGCGGCGGGACAAGCCCTTTGCCGCTCAGAAGCAATAAGAGAGAAAGACAGAACATATAAATAAAAGAACGTTTTGCAGATAAAAAAACTCATCATAAGCAAAATCAAAGGACAGGCTGGGGAAAGGGGTTTGAGCTTAAACCCCAGAGAGTGACTGTCTCCAAGATGTGAGCAAGTGTTACACCAGCTCAAGCACCCAGAGCCGTAAAGTGGACGAGATGACAAACACGTGCTGAAGAAACGGGGGTGCACGTGGTCCCCAACCACGTGAGAAGGCCCCCCAACCGCGAGGATGGAGAAACGCAAGTTGATGTGGCAGGTGCCCCAGGGCTCGCCTCCCGGGCCCTTGTCCCTCAGGTGGACCACGTCTGCTCACGCGTGCTGGTCACATGCCCCCAGCCCAGGCCCGGGGAGCCTGGCCCCCACCCGCATGGCCCCTCCCCGCAGCGCTGGCTGCTGACCAGAACGGCCTCCTGTGCCGCAGGCGGGAGGGGAGGGGCAGGGCAGAACGATGCGGCTCATCCTCTGTGCCCTGGGCTCCGAAGGTGCCCTCTGCCCACCCTCAGAGAAGGCAGCTGGGCCCTTCAATGCTTCCGTCCCCCGCCAGGGACCGCGTTCCGTCAGCACCACAGAGGGTGCGGGAGGCGCCAGTGCCTCTTGTTAGGCGCCCCGGGTGTGCTCTGGCAGGCCCCGCCCTGTGGCTGCACCCTCTCAGGGGTCGGAGCTGAGCCCGGGTAGGGGAGTGGCTTGTCCCCGCTGCTGCTCCCTCCTGCGCAGCCATACTTGCTGCTCACCCACCACGGCCACGGCCCCCCGCGCTCCTCCCCGGTCAGCTGCCAGGCTTGGTCTTGCTCACGTGCCCCTAACCTGCGGAGGACAGCTGTCTCCTGACACTGCAGACCCAGGCCGAAGACAGCGGGCGGCGCAGGCAGACAGCGTGCCTGAGGCCGCGGGGAGCCCACGGGCGTGTTTGAGGGCGCGTGGCCCATGGAGCGCGGGGACTGACCGTGCTGGGAGCCAGCAGCTACTCGCCAGATGCCCGCCGGGCTCCACGGGCGGGGCGAGGGGCGGGGCAGGGCTGAGGGCCACGTTTTGAGGTTCACGGACAACAACGCCGTGCTCAGCTTGCTCACAAGCTCTTTCAGCCTAGACTTGAGGTTGTTACGTGAAAGGCAAGTGACCTGCAGGTGTTTCACATTAAAAAAATTACTTGAGTTTTCTTCCCAAAACGTTACTGGGAGGCAGCAGTTGCGCCAGATGACGCAGGCCCTTCACCCTGCAGCCCTTTAAGACGCTGCGACCAGCGCAGGCCCAAGGCGCCCCCCGCCCCCCGCCCGTGAGCAGGCCCCGCCCCCCCAGGCCGGACGGGGCAGCGAGGCTCCCCGGTGTTTCGGGTTGACCGCGGGGTGAAGGGACAGGCTGGCGCTGTGCCCACTGCCGCTTCTCGGGGTGGCAACTGCCCCGCACGGCGCGGAGCCGTCCACGGCGACAGGCACGCTCTTCTGTCCGCACCCGGCGCCTCGGCGGGACGCTGGGACTGCGGCCACGGGGCGGCCGGCCCGGGACGCGCCCTCACCTGGATGACGACGCGGGGCGACTGCGAGAAGTACCACAGCGGGATGCCGAAGAGGCTGATCAGCGCCGTCCTGGTCTCGTAGGTCTCCGAGCAGCGCGTGCTCAGGACGCTGCCACCTGCAAGAGGGCCCGCTCGCCTCAGCCCCTGCGTCCCCGCCGGGGGAGCTCTCGGGGACGGCGTACACGCTCTCCAGCTTCTACCGCGTACAGAGAAGCTGCCGCTGCGGGCCGGCCCCGAGCCCAGTCTCGCGTTTCCCAAGCCCCGTGCAGGCGTGTGGCTGCTCTCAGGCACACAGGTCGCACCCACGGACACCGACGGGTCCCGGAGCGCGGGCTCCTCCCCGCCTGCCTGCGCCTGCTGGGACGGCAACTCAGAGTGACCTTCGTCCCAAGTTTCTGAGGCGCGAACCGTGGGCCCGACGGGCCCCGCTGTCACCGGACAGGCGCGGGGGAAGGGCGTGGGTGCCAACGGGCGCAGGGCCCCACCGGGACCCGGGGTGCGCCAGGCCCGTCGGCGAGCCCCCCAGCCCCAGGTCGCGCAGGGCGGGGTGGCGCGGCCGCGTCACTGAGGCCGGTCTCGGCGGCAACAGGAAGCGCGAAAGGAGGCCCGCTCGCCCCTTGACAGGAAGCGGGGCGACGCGCGGGTGCCACGGCATAGGTCTCGCGAGGAGCCGACCGGAAGGGGCAGAGGGTCCGCCGCGCGGCTGCCGTCCCGGCCCCACGGGCGCCCGCCACACACCTCGCAGCCGGGGGTGGAACGGGGCCGCCGAACTGTCTCCCCAAAACACCCACTGTCGTTCTCCCAAAGTCTCCTTAGATACGGGGCCCACGTTTTTAGCTCACAGAGAGTCGATACACGCTTTGTTTAGACATAAAACCTTTGACCAGAATTCTGAATAACCGGTACACCAACCCGTAAGGACCGACCCTGCTTCTAGGAAAAAAACGACAGGGCGAAGAGCTTGAATTGCCACTGGCTCCAAGGAGCAGTCAAGACATCACCTGACGTCTTTGAATTGCGAACAATTTCCTCAGAAATCACTGAACTTCAAAACACGCAACGAGGGTCTCCGCGCAGAGCGCGAGCTCCCGTCTGCCTGACGCCGGGAGGCCCGGGCGGTCCTCGCGCAGAATCGCCCCGCGGGCTCCCAGGAGCGGGGGCGCGGCGGGCCCAGCCCATGGGGACCAGGCGCCTGCCCAAGGGCCCCACCGTTCGAGGCCCGCCCTGTGGCGAGCCGGCCCCGCACCGCAAAACTCCCTTTTCTCCAGGACACGTAGGTCTGCCAGCTCTCGTGCGTAATTCCTGAATTTTAAAGATTCAGGAAACCGAGCCTTTCTGTGACGGGCGGGGGGGGCGCCCGCGCCTTCGCCATCTCCTCGCAGGAGGAGGGGTCTCTCCCGTGTCTCACCACGTGTCACAGGGAGGCGGGTGGCAGAAGGCGCACTCATGGGCCACAATACCTCGCTGAGCCACGATTCGCAGGTTTCAAATACACGAAGCCCTGAAGTTTCCTGCGCTGGGTCTGTGGGCGGGGAGCACGCGGCACTCACAAGACCCCAACCTTTTTTTCCTTCTCTGAGGAGCCAAACTGGCACCCCGCTGCCACTGGCCCAGCGGGTTGGCTCCCCTTCAAGGCTCTCGTGACCTGTCCCCGCGGGACGGCGTGGCCCCCGCCATGTGCCTGTGAGGCCGCACCCGCCGCCAGCGCCGCGCAGCCAGGAGACACGAAGCAGCTGCCCAGGGCCACCCCGCCGCGGGCCCCTGGGCGGGCACCCCGCCGCGCCCCCGCGAAAAGCCAGCTGTAGTCTCCCTGCTGGCGTCGCCGTCAACCTGTCCACAGCGCCACAGCAGGGACACACGGTGAGCTGAGCGCTTGCTCTGAGGTGCCGCCCGGTACCCAGCTGGAGAACCCGAAGCCCCTGAAACGCGCCCGAAGTGGGATTACGCTGATGGGCTTCTACCCACGCCCGCCGAGAGCACCAGCAGCACAGCCCGGCCTTCCCGGGCGCACGGACCGCGCCGTCAGCCTGGAGCGTGAGCGGCGCCCCGGCGCGGACGCTCCAGCTCCTGGAAGCGTTAGCGGCGCTGTGGTCGGAGGCGCGGAGGCAGCGGCTTCCAAGCCTGCACCCTGCGAACGGGGCTGCCCGGCTCCGTCAGCGGAGGCCCACGGACTCACCGCCGGACTCCAGGGCGAAGTCCACCATGCCGGTCTTGTCCTGGGAGTACAGCTTCAGCGCGTTGTTCACGATGACGTGCGCTTGCTGGGCGGAGGCACGTGCGGGGGGGGGGGGGGGGGGGGGGAGACAAAGCTGCGCGTTAGCGACGGGGGCGAAGGCCCGACGCTTCGGGGAGCCCACGCCGCCAGCCGGTTCTGTCTGGGGCCCAACAGGCCTGGGGGACGTTCCGGGAAACGCCAACTTCCGCCTGCACCGCGGCAGGGCCGCCGGCGGACGTGGGCGGGCACTGGGGCCTGTCCGCGGGTCCACAGCAGCGGCTGCGGCCTGGGGCCAGGAGACTGGGAGGGTCTGGAGATTTGGGAAGGTTTGGGGCGCCAGGCAGATGGGGCCTTCGGGACAAGAAACCTGATACAGCGGCAAGGGCTCCCGAGAGGCCGCCGCCGCCCCCGCCCCGTTCCCCGCCTACCGCTTCGGTGATGCCCGCGGCGCCCTGCTCGCGAACCGCAGACAGGACGGCGTCGGCGGTCGGCGCCTGCCGCGTCACGGAGACATGGTGCGTGATGTTGCGCAGGACGCGCAGCTCCAGCTCCCGCAGCAGGGCCTGCAGGTCGTCCTTGCTGACGAAGCGGGACGCCAGCCCCTGCAGCAGCTGGTCCAGGGAGCCGTCCTGCCGCCCGTCCGCGAACAGGAGCCGGACGGTCTCCCTGACCTGCGCGTCGACCTGGGAGAGTCGTGGGCAAACGGGACAGAAGCCTCTTGGTCCCGCGCCCCTGTCCCCCGACACCACGGAGGCGCTGCCCACGCCACAGCTTCCCCGCGGGGAGTCGCGGACCCCGCCCAGGGCGCTGCCGGGGGGACGGCAGAGGGGCGCAGGGGGCGGGGCCCACGGCACAGGCGCGTGGGGGCAGGGCGGAGGGGGAGGGGCCCCTTGGCTTCCAGGCACGTAAACAGGTACGTGTGCGTCAGAGACGTCCACCTGCGTCAGAGACGTCCGCCTGCGCAGCCTCCTGCACGGCCGCGCGCAGGCCCCCCCCCCCGCGCCCCCACCGCCGCGCCCCAGCGCGTCCCGCCCGCTCCGCCTCCCGGCCCCGCAGGGACCTACTTGTCCCCGACCTCCTGCCTCTCTCGGACTCCGGCTGAGCCCTGCACACGCCAGCGCAGGAGGGCGACAGGATGCGGAAATTCGGGGGAGTGGGAGTCTTATTTTATTTTAAACGTTATTTTAACTCTGTAAAATCGTTGACTATAATAAAACAACGTTTTTAAAGGAAGTTCATGGCCCTGAGACACGCACCCGGCTGGCCTCTTACTTTCCGCGGCCACACAGCGCGCGGAGGCGGAGGGCACTTACGTGCTCGCGGACAGCGTGCGCCTCCTCGCAGCGGGCCTTCAGCGGCTGCCAGGCGGCCAGCTCCGCCTGCAGGCGGCCCAGCTCGCGCTCCAGCTGCGACACCGTGGACAGCAGGCGCCGCTCCTGCTCGGCCCCGCTGGCAGTCGGCGGGGGAGGGGAGAGGAGCAGGCTCGGTCACCTCGTGCGGGGGCAGCCGGCGCGGCCCCCAGGCGACCCTGGGCGGCTGCCACCTGCCCCGCGTGCCGACGAATCCCCACGCCGCTTCCCAAGTCGGAGCCCCAGAGGTGTTCCCAGGCTGCGAGGACGTGCCTGCCCAGCGTGTCCTCGTGGAGGGGAGCGCTCTCCCAAGACCCGTTGGGTTTGCGCTCAGCGTGTACATTCTCTCCTCACCGTGACAAAAAGGCTTCGGGGGTGAGATGGGGTTTGCCAGCGGCCATTACAAAGCTGAACGGGAACTTTCCGCGGTAACGGAAGGGGCGAATGAGCTAACAATGCACAGTTCCCGGGTCAGCTTCAGTAACTGTGTGTGCGCGTGGGGACGGCGTGACGCACCCACTGCACGGCTCCACGGCTGTTAACGCTGGTTTACAGCGGGCGCCGTTGCTGACACGCCAACGACACGCTCAGGAGAGCGGCCGGCGCGCTCCCGGGGAACCCTGGGAGGGTACCCCCATCAGCCTCTCAGACACGACTCTGCGGGCGCGGGGTGGCCCTTCTGCGGTCCTTCCAGAGGACGCACGGCCAGACCCCGACCGCAGGCCCGTGGGACACCGAGGGGCCGGGAGGGGCCCAGAGAGGCTCACGCTCCGCGTCGGGCGCCCGTCAGGCCTCAGGAATCACCGAGCCTTGAAGGGGGACGTGTGGACACACGTAGGTACAAAGAGACCGGCAGCGCTCAAGAGGGAAGGGGAAGCCACGGCGCCTGCGCCCGAGGAGCGGGGCGGAGGGCAGGGGGAGCGCCGGGGGAGCCGGGAGGAGCGGCGTCCCCCTCCCCAGGAAGCTGCCGAGGGGCCAGCGGGGGACGCAGCTCAGAAGCGGCCCGGAGCCCCTGCTCCGGAGGCGACAGGCGGCAGCTGCGGTGCCACTGGCCCGTCCGGAAGGCAAGGTCCCGCCCACACGACCGGGCTGAGCCCCGACGCCCGTGGCGCTGGCAGGGCACCACGCGGAGCCGCCCCTCACCGACTGAGACGGGAGCCCCGGCTCACCCACGCCCTGAGGTTGGCCGCCGAGCCCCCACGTCGCAGCAAGGGGGACCCCGCCCCGGGGTCACTGTGCCGGGGAGCAGACAGTGGGAAGCCCCTCAGGCGCCTCCGCCCTTCGGTGGCTCCGCAGGGCCGCCCGGGGGGACCCACAGCTGCGCGTCCCCCGTGGAACCAGGCGCGGCGGCCCCGCCGCAAGGCCCGTGCGGGGCACGGGGGTCCCCCTACCTCGCTGTCCTCAGCCGGGTCTGCTCCAGCTCCTTCTGGATGGCCTGAAAGGGAGGAGGAACCGCACGCTCACTCTTCACAAAACCACGCGCTTGGGTGACTCTTCACAAAGACCCCACGTGTCTGTTGGGAGTCTGTCCCCCATAACCCAAAGTCCAGACCTGCTAGTTGGCAGGTGAACGGTGTTCACCTTCGGGAGCAAACTTTCAAAAGACAACCAGCAGACCCCGGAAGGGGCCCAGACCCCGCAGGAGCCGCCGACGCACTGTCACCGCTCCTGGCTGGCACCGGGGCTCCGCCAGAGGCGCGTTGGCAGCCGCGCGGCACGGGGTGGGGAGCGAGCCCCCCGGCCACGGCCTGCGCGGCACGGAGCCGCCGGTGGGCACTGAGGCGGGGGTCAGGCTGCCCCTGTGCACAGGACCCCTCTCGTGGACGCAGGGCGGCCCCACCCGCTGCTGCGCTGGACGCGCCTGCGCCAACCCGGCCGGGGTCACGGCCGACTAGAGACCCCAGGGCTGCGCTGTGCGGGCGCCGCGGTCGGCCTGCTGCCAGGCCCCACTCCGTGCCCGGCGCAACATCCTGGCCCCCCCGCCCCCTGCCTTGAACGTCTGAGAACAGACTTTCCCCACAGAAAATGACCGCTGAGGGCAAGGACAGGCCCCGCCTTCCCCGCCTGGGGACACCGGACGCTGGGGTGCTGTGGGGACAGGCAGGAGGCAGACTCGGGGTCGCAGCCCCACTCGGCGGCTCAGACCCAGTGAGCAGGACACGCCCAGGGGGCACTGAAGCCGCAGAGGGAACCCCGGGCACGAGGGGACAGGCAGCAGCTCGGGCCTGAGCCGTGTGGCCTCGGGCGGGGCGGCGCGGCGCAGAGCAGGTACCTCGGACTCCGCCGCCAGCCTCCCGAGGGCGTCCTCCAGGCGCGCGAGGCGCAGCTCCTGCTCGTGGCCACGGGCCGCAGCGTCGGCCTGGAAGAGGGCAAGGAGCGGAAGGAGGGTCAGCGAAGGGAAGCGGCGGGCGCACAGGGACCGCACGCCCCGTGGCTCGGCGTCCCTGCAGGGGCTGGCCGCCCAGGGGCCCGGGCCCGAGGGCAGAGGGCAGAGGGAGACGCGCGGCCCTCGGTGTGCGGGGCTTTCGTGGCACTCACGCCTCATCTCATTCCAGAACGCAACCGCAGGGGCTGGTAAACGTTCACGTAAAAGCAAGACCACAAAAGATCCGCCCGAGGCAGAGCGCAGGGTCGGCCGCAGGGGCCAACCCCAGGCAAACCCGCAGGGGCCTTCCTCAGACGCTCGCCGGCGGGGGTGGGAGGGGGCAGCAGCGGTCGCTGCCGGCAGGCCCCGGGCGGGGAGCGAGGGCGGCGCCGCGCAGAGCCCGGTGTGGAAGCCACTCTGCTCAGGGACGGGGCTCTGTGCTGGGCCATAGGGGGGCAGGACGTGGTCCCCGTGGGGCCGCAGCGGAGAGGGTGGTGAGGGCGGGGCCTGGACGGCCTCAAGGTTTTAATCCAAAACATCTGAGTCACATCGTGTTGGAACGTAACCAAAGGGGCGTGGGCTCTGAGGGACGTGGGCCGACCGTCCTCTCCTCGAGAACCTACACCGAGTACACCAGGCGTTCCCGCGGAGGCCCGCGGCTCCCCGTACACTCCCGCTGCGCCCCCACCCCGTGGGCGCCCCCACAGGCGGGTCCTCTCTGGTGGGGGCCAGGGCACTGCTGCCCCCCAGCTGCTCAAGGAGAGGAGCCCCTCGAGGGCCCCTCGGGCTCACCTGCGCGCCCGGCAGCGTGCCGGCGCCGAGGTCCTTCAGGTGCTGCCCCACCACGCTTCTCACCAGGGACGCCACCCCGGCCCCGCCGTCGTCCAGCTGGTCCACCTGCGCCCGCAGTGTCTGAAGCGAAGCGGTCAGTTCTCTCAGCTTCGTGTCACGGCTCTGACACTGTCCAGACAGAGAGGCCACCTGCCTTTCCACCTCTCTCATCCAGTGCCCGGGAGGGGCCTCCGCTGCGCCCTGGGACAGGAAGCAGAGGCTCTCTCAGCAACGCCAGGGAGCGTCGCGCTGGCGTCCCGCAGCGGCGGCCCGGCAGGGACCAGAGCGCCTCGGCGGGACAGGCCCGCGCGGCAGCGGGGACACCAGAACAGCGCCGCTTAGACTTTCCTCACGTGGCAGCCGGAGGGGTGGGGGGAGGTTTCTCTTCTTTACGCTTTTTTCCCCAAAGTAATGAATGCTGTTTTCAAATTACAACGACCCAAATAACGAGATTACTCTAAAAACGCAGTGGGAACTAGTTCACAGCACATAAGGAGATGAGTGCTCAACACTATCCTCTAACCTGGGGCGCCCAACCCGCCGGCCCGTTCGCAGCAGGAGGAGGAGGGGCCCTCGCGGACAGACCGTGGCGCTGGGGGCCCGGGCTCGCTACCTGGGGAGGCTGGGGCGGCGCCGCAGCCCCAGGGGAGAGTGCGCCCGGGGGCTCGTCGACCCTCAGTGTCCTCAGCGTGTGTGTCCAGCTGAAGGCGGGCAGGAGGGAGAGGAGGCCACCCTGGCCCCACGCACAAAGGCCCGCACCTTGGGGAGAGAAAAGCGGTGCTGGCTGAGGGCGGCCGCGCACAGCTGGTCGCCGGAGGTTACGGGGTCGGAGTTTACCTACCTAGTAGAAGTAACAGCGGAATGAGCAAGATTAAAAACTTGCAAGCATTTCGAAGGCACCTAGAAATAAAAAGCAAAGACGCTTAGGGGAAGCCCGAGGCAGGTCCAGCGTGCCCTGTGCCTTCAGGCAGCCTCTGCCCGAACAGCCCAGCCCTGTCGAGCAGGAACCCCCCGGCAGGCCCTCGGTCTCCTCCACGAGGGGAACCTGCCCACACAGCGGCGTCTCCCTGGTCCCATTGACAAGCAAACCCTGGCCGCGCTGGGGGCTGCGGGGAGGCGCTGGAGCGCCGTGGACGTGGGCCCACTGCGGTGGCCTGGTGCCACACGTGGAGGCCAAGGGCCTGGCCCCCCACACGCCCCCTGCCCACGGCTGTTTCCCTCAGGCGTGGCACCAGCCTTCCCTCCTCACAGGAGTGGTTTAACAATCAAGAACACAAGCGTTTTGTAAATGGTAAAATGGTACGTAAGTGCAGGACTTCAATGTACCAAACTACAAGAACTACATGATTGTCAAGCAATACATTGAACAACGTCCTGCAATCAGCACAAGGTCAGCACTTGAACACATTTGGCTGACAGGGCACTGGCCTCCTCACCTGGTGAGAAAAAACACGTTCAGCCACGAAATCAGAGTGACCAGCTGGTACCACCCGCTCCCCAGCCACCAGAGGATCCCAGCGGCCGCCTTCCCTGAAACAGAAAACACCAGGCGGTCTCGGGACATGCCCTCAGGACAACCAGGCTCCCAAGCGCGGGCCCAGCCGGAAGCACCAGGAAGGACCTCGGGAGGAGGCGCAGCGGCAGCGGGACAGCGCATGGAGAGCCGCCGGCCGCACAGCGCCACGCCCACACCCTCCCGCGCAGACACACCAGCGCGCCACACAGCGCCCGGCATGCTCAGCAGGACATGGGTGAGGCTCGTAGAGGCCACCCCAGCGCACACGCCTCAGTCCCAGCCCCTTAGCAGCGCGCGGCCGCAGGCCAGCGCGCAGGACACGCAGGCTCATGCACCCAGAGCACAAGGCGGGACTGTCACGCGGGGGGCAAAGCGTGGGGCCCCGGCATGGAGCTTCGCTCCGGGAGGCAAGTTGCTCCTGCTGGGGCCTCGCAGAGAGAGGGCGCGCAGAGCCAAAGGAACCACCTGGGGCCGCCGCAGCTGACCACAGGACTGAGAGCACGGCCCACGCCGCGGCCCACGCTGCAGCTCCGGTCCTCCGCAGCATCCGCCCCGCGACAGACGAGGCGCGGGCGGGCGGCCCCCTTGAACACGGGGCTCTAGGACACCAGCTCTCCGCAGCTGCCATGCGGGAAACACCTACGGACAGGGTTGCACCCAAACGCTCTCCTATCAGCAGTTGATTCCCTTTCCGAGAAAAACAAAAAGCAGACTGGGCCAAGTCCAAGCGAGATGCTGACCGACTGTGAGAGCCCCGCCCTCGGTCTGAAGAGGACCCCCCCCCACCTGCCTGCAGCGGCCCCGTGAGGCCCGACTCAGGGGCCGGGGCTGCCGCAGGCGCCCCGGTGCCAACAGGGCTGATGGGGAGAGAGCCTGAGCTGCGTGGAAGTACAGCCAGTTCCAGACCCCAGGGCCCATCGGCAAGGCCTGGCGAGGCGAGGCCGGCCCAGGACCCCGGGGAGTGCCGCCCCGCAGGCTCACGCTCTCTGGGAACAGCGCGCTGGAGCTGCCGAGGTGCGGGGGGCGGGGGGAAGGATGGACCGCGGGGGTCCTCCGTCGGGCAGCCCGCGCCACGCAGGCCGGAGCGCGCCCCAGGCGCCCGCCTCGCTCCGTTTCTAAGAGCAACCACAGAGAGCAAGGCACTTGCCCCGGCGTTGTGTTGGCTCCCGAAACCGTGTGGTAATTCCAACAGGGCTGACAGGCACAGAAATGGGTTGAAGAGGCTTCATCTATTGTTTTAGCTTTATCTTCATCAAGGAACAGTTAGGACGCACCTATTTTTGAAGCGCGGCTTTGAAAACAAGGCCTCCGAAAAAGGCGCCCCCGCGCCGAGCGAGGGCAGGCCCGCCTGGGGAGACGGCCGCCGCGAGCGCAGGGCCTCGGGCAAGGGCTCGGGCGGCGCGGGGCCGGCCTCGGCCACGCCTTTCACTGAACCTCGGGGAGGTTCTTTCTCACACCTTTAACTTAGGCCCAAAACACCATGAAGCAGCGTTCAGGGGAGGGGGTCCCCACGTTTCAAACCAGAGTTCACGGGTCGCCAGCGCGTCTGTGACGAGCCCCGGACCCCATGCGTGGACAAGACACAGCGGGCACACGGGAGAAGCGACAAACGGCACAGAGAGGTGCGGGAGGCCACCTGCGCGGGAGAAGCCGGGCCGCTCGGTCCCCACGGCCCCTCCGGTCCCCGAAGCCTGCCAGCGGGTGGCTGAGTGGGTCTCCAGGCGCTGCGTCCCCTCCCAGTCGCTGCCTGCGGGGGTGGTGACAAGCAGTCAATGTGACAGGTAACACCACAGACCGTCCGTTCAAAACCGACGAGGCGTGACAGTGACAGTTGGAAAGAGATCAGGAAACCCAATTAGGAAGAAGAGGAGAAACTCGAAGCCAGCGCCGCCTGGCGGCCGGTCGCTCCGCCGCGCTCGCCCCCGCGGTCCCGCGGCGGCCGGTCCAGCCCGCCCACGCGGACGGCGCGGCGCGCACGCACAGCCACAGGCACCCCGCGAGAGCACCGCCCGCGGGGGGCGAGCCGTACTCACACAGCGAGTCCCCGTTCACACGGAGGCGGCCGTCCTCTCCGCGGGGCTCTGTCGCCGTCATCCCGCCGCCGCGCTCGGGACGGGCTGCAACACACGCAGGGGAGGCGCGGGGAGCTCAGCCAGCGCGAGTGCTGCCCAGAGCCCCAGGGGGCCGGCCAGCCCGGGGCAGCGGGGGGCGGGGGGGGGGGCGGGCAGGCGACAGGGCAGCGGGGGCGGGGGGGGGCAGCGGGGAGGAAGGAGGCGCAGGCCCCGCCCCCGCCAACACCGAGCCCTCCCGGCGCTCTAACTGCTGCCCAAATCAACGGCTGTTCTTCAAAAAAAGTGGAAGTGGAGTATGTTAACTTTTTATTTAAAAAGTGACTTCAGAGTAACAGTCAAGCACTGATCTACTGCCGGAAAACCGAACCGCACCCAGGACCCGTGCGCAGCTCCGCAAGCCCCTGCAGAGCGCGCCCAGCTCGGGCAGGAGAGTCGCGTGAAGATGGCAGAGCAGGAACGTGGCGCGCCACGCTGCAAAAAGGAGAGTTTTCTCCACCTCGAAAGCATTATTTGGTGGAAGAAAGGGAAAAAAATGATTTAAATACCTTTTGATTCATGGCTTTCTGACTTATAGCTTTCTGATTCACGATCTTTTGATTCATAGCTTTTCAATTTGTAATTTTCTGATTCGTAATTGAGCTTCATTAAAACCACTCGAAAGAGCTGGACTAAGAGTGACGACAAAGACGACGACGTGTAAGTGGCCAGCCACAGAGTCCTGTCCACGCAGGAGGGCGCGCCGCCTGGTGAGAAACCGTGAACACAGGTAAGCTCCCCGCGAGGCCGGCGCTTCCTCCCTACCCGACCCGGCGGAGAGCCAGGCTGCTCCTTCAGGCAGCGCGGCACCGGCTTAGTCAGCGATGCCCCGGAGGTGCCGTGACGGCAGGCGGCGCTCTGCCTGGGGGACCCGTGTCCCCCCTCTGGCTGGGCAGAGCTGTCCACGCCGGTCTCGCAGCAGCAGGCCCCGCTAACCCTGCGGGGCTGCCTGCCGGGCCCAGCACCTCCCCGGGTGGCCGTCGCCGTGCCGGCAACGGGGCGACAGAAACGAGCGGCGTGGCCTCGGGAGGGTCCGCTCGGCGAGGGAGCCGCTGGACCCAGGGCGCCGGCCGCACTCTGCGATTCGTTATTAGTGCCGGCGCTTCAGCGGATATGATGGGACCCCAGATTCTTTTCTCTATTAAGTTAAGACAGGGTGCGGGGCGATGTCCCCCAGGTCACAGTTGCTGGAAAGGCCTGTCTTTGGGCAAGCTCCCTCCCTGAGGGCGGAAAGCAGGCTGGCTTCCTGGCGGCCGGGCACCCAGGACCCCGACGGGCCCCCCGACCTGGCGTGCCCCGGACCCGGCTCGTGCCGCCTCCCTGGCTCCCACAGCCCTGGGGACACGGACGGGTGGCGTGGAGCCAGCTGGGGCTGGGGCATCGGAGCTGAGGTGATTTTAAAGAAACGAAATCACGGATGCAGGCTGCGGTGAGCCGGCGCCCCGGAGGAGAGCGCGCGGGGGGCTCCTGGCTGCCAGCGCCTGTCTAGCCGCTGTGCCGTGCCGAGGCCGAGCAGAGACACTGCTTCCTAAGGCAAGGCCGGGCCAGCCTCGCTGATGACAGAGAGAACATCGAAATCCCATTTTTCATCCAGCAAACTGAAAAATTTGTAGAGTACGAAAACACGAAAAAAAACTGGCAGGCGTCTGCGGGTGGGGCCCTTGTAGCGTGGGAGCCGGACGGGCTGGGAGGGTCTATCTTTGTGCGGCATCTCTTTCCCAGCAGGGACGTGGATCAGGAGCTGCTGGCTGGAACAGGCTTGCAAACTACATCTGAACTCGCGACCGCGCGTCCGGGAGAGCGGCCGGTGCGGCTGCCCCGAGGCTGGGACCCGCAGCTGCCGCTGTGTGGATGGAGCCCTGGCTGCTGCCCCTGGCCGCAGGCGTGCAGCCCTGGCTGGCTCGCTGCCCAGACCCGAGCCGGCTGCCCGGCTGCCTGGCTGGCGCGGCAGGCACTTTGGTCCTCGCGCCCCTGACAGCTGGGCGGCCTGGATGGGCAGCATCCGGGTCTGAGCCACCAGGACAACTGACGCGGTTTCACAGGAATGAGCCCCTTTTCTAAGTCAGTTCATGCCTTCCGCTGGGGGACAGGAGCACGCCCCAGGGACACACAGGGTCCGTTCTCAGGGTCTAACGCAGCGTGGGGCCCAGGCGTGGCCACGTTGCCAGACTCCCCGTCGCCGAAGGGGACGCCCGCCCTGCCGCGCGCACAGCCCGCCAGCCCCGGCTCTGGGAGGGCTGCCGCCTCTCCAGGGAGGGACTCTGACGCCCGTTCAAGCCCGTCTGGCGCGAAGCAAAGGGCTGCCTTCGGGCAACTTGAACCTCCAGAGGCTCAGGACAAGGAACCCCCGGGTTCAAGGGGGTCCGGGATCTTTACCCGTCTGCTCCCCTCCTGGCCACTCTGCCCAGGACACGGACACGCGTGTGCACAAGCACAGGGACAAGGACAGGCTGGTGCACCAGCAGAAGAGTCAACTACCATCAGACTCTGATTAAATAAACGTTGCTATCGCCATGAATAACAGAGAGAGAAACACAAAACAGTGAATTTCAATTAACATAAAGTGAGAAAGTTGCAAAACCACGTATGTCGGGGGAGCGTTTCAGACAAAACGACGTCTCTCTCTAGGTTCACGTGCAAAACTCAGGTGCTGTCCGCACCTCACTGTGAGTGACCCAGCGCCACGCACTGAGCTGCACATTTTTTGTCGTGTGGATTTCACCTCACGTCGCAGAGCACGAGCGCCCACGCTGGGCGTGTCCCGCACGCAGCGGCGCCTCGGGGCGCTCGGCGACACCAGAAGGGGCGCGGGGCCGTCGGGCGGGCGCGGCCCCGGGGCCAGGACACCTGGACGCAGCCTGGGGGGCGGCTCCGGCCGGGCGACGGGTTCGGTGACTTTGATCCCCCCCTCGCACACCTCTCACTCCCCAGTCCAGTACTCTCCACAGACACTTCGCTCCCAACAGGGGACGGGCTGCTGGGCGCGGTCAGCGAGCTGGTCCTACAAATCGCGGGCACATCCTGCAACAGCAAGGGAGGCGGCCAGCCCGGCCCGAAGCAAACGGACACAGAATAACACCTCATGTAAATGCAGATCAAAACAGACAGAACACAGAGGTAAACCATAAACATATACATAACTTTTCTCTTCAAAGACAGTCAAGAGTGCGCGCCCTGACCGGTGCGGCTCCGTGGGCTGGGCATCATCCTGCGAACCAGAGGGTCGCCGGTCAATGCCCAGGCAGGGCCCAGGCCGGGGCTGCGGGCCAGGTCCCCGGGGGGGCGCGCGAAAGGCAGCCCCACAAGGATGTTTCTCTCCCTCTCTTCCTCCCTTCCCCACTGTTAAAAACCAGTCAAGAGCAGTTTAAGCCAGGGAACCCCAGCGATGGACTTCCGGAGGCCGCCTGGAACCTGCACCCGAGGACAGAGAGCGGCTGCTCCCAGTCACAGACAGAGCCAGGGTGCGCCCTCACTCCAGGGTGACGCTTTGCCCCCCCGCCGCGACGGGGTGTGTCAGCACAGCCTCAGCACCCCTTCAGCTGTCCCCTGGGGCCCCGGGGACAGCACTGGGCAGGCATGGTGCCGCCCGGTGGGGACGACCCGTTCCACGGGGCTGCCGCAAGGGCTGGGGAGCCACCAGGCAGAGCCGGAGGAGTGGGGGGCGGGGCGGGGCTGCCCCCCCAGCCGCTGTCCTGCGGTGTGGTGTGGCTGAGGGGTCGGCAAGGCGGACCCCACAGACGGAACCATGAGCGCCAGCAGCTCTAACTGCACACCCACCCCATCTGAGAAACAGGAGCCGAGCGGCCTCGTGCGCCAGGCACAGCCCGGAGCTCCATGGGCGGGCAAATGCGGCCCTGCCCTCCTGGCGCGTCCCCGGGGTCCCCGCCAGCTCCCCGCCATGCGTCCTCCCGGGCCAGGCAGACCGGCCCGCAGAGCGAGCCCCCCGGGAGCCGCGGCTTGGAGACGAGGTAAGCACGTTCTCAGTCCACAGCTCCCTGGCCTGTCCCTGCCACGTGGGCACAGTGGCCACGGGCAGGACCCGGGGACAGTGTGGAGTGCCGGGCCTGCAGGGGCATCTCCCCCACGTGACGGTGCCCACAGGGAGCCCGCAGGCCGGCCTGCAGGGGCCACAGCCCCGAGAGCCACACGGCTCTGGAGCCGCTGCAAGGGCCGCCTGCCCAGAGCCGGCAGCCAGACGCAAACATCCACCTCTGTTTGCTCGGGGCCGCGGCTGCAGCGGGACCCACAGGTGAGAGCAGCCGCCTGCAGGGCTGCAGGTCCGGGGGGCGGCGGTTCCCTCTGGAGGCGGGAGCCCCTGCAGAGCCGCTGCTCTGGCGCCGGCGCGGGACACAGCACCGCCTCCTGTCCAAGTGCAGGTCACGGAATTCAGACGCTCCCAGGGACAAAACCCTAGCCAGGTAAAGCGGAACTTGAAAGAGTATGAGAAGGAGCAAAGCTACACTTTGGCACGTTTCTTAAACTTTTACAGGGCAATTTTGAGTCCAAGGCAAACACTGGAACCATGGGACGGGACACTCACGTCTCTGGGTGCGGTCTCTGGAGTGCACCCTGGAGGTGGTGTGCGCGGGGGGCGTCTTCCCGGCCGACAGCAGGGTGCAGGCCCGGCACGTGTAGCCATTGCTCCGGGCGGCGTCTGCGGCTGCGTCGCCGTTTCCCTGAGTGACAGCCTTCGCGCCACCTGAAGGTTTCAAAAAGCGGGAGGAGCCTGTTCGCACACCCTGTGGACGCCTGACGGGAACCCCGCTCTCACAAAGCAGGGGAGGTGGTCAAGGGCTGAAATCTTTACCTTTAAGGTCTCCATCGTCATCAAGACCTAAAACACACACAGATTGTTGCAGTTGAGCTCAGATTGCACAAAACAACACACAACAAAACCCACTCACAAAAGTAAAAATTACGTTACTGAATCAGCATGATGGCACGGGCTCCGATGTATTTCCTAAAATGCCTAAAACTGACGGCAACCTCCCCAGATGGACGCCCACTGTGTCCCGACCGAGGCGGAAGGACGTCTCTGACAGGACGCGCGCACGGCCCTGCAGGCGCACGCTCAGCCCGCGTGGAGGGGGGGGGCGCCGGGCGCCCTCCTGTGACACAGGGCCCCGCACCCCCGCGCGCTGCCTGGGTAGCACGAGGCCCCACGCGTCCCGACGGCGGCCCGCGGAGCCCCACCGATGCCGGCGCCCCCGGAGCGCCCCGTTCCGGCCCGCGCTGCCCCCCGTGTCGTGCGTCCCCGTCGGGTGCTTCCCAGCGACGCCGCGGTGCCGGCCCGCTCTGCCGCCGAGGACGGCACCACCTGCTCCGTGGCTGTGCCCACACAGCCCATGGCGGCAGCGCCCAGGCGGCACCTCCCGCGCGGCACCTGCGGGCTGCTCCGCCCGTAGCCCAGAGGACGGCGCCGCCGCCAAGGCCGCACCGGTGAGTCGAGAGGAGCCCTCGGCCTTGCTGGGCTCCGCGGGCCCTGACCTCCCTTCTCCCAGAACCATCAGAAATAACCGAGCGGTAGCTGACTCACCCCAGAAGTGGTCCACCTGGGTCTGCTCTTGGATCAGAGACTCGTCCAGCACAGGCGGCGGCACACAGGCCGAGCCCTGCACCCCGCTGCCCAGGCCAGCGGTGACCTGCCGGGCGGCGTGGTTCCCACCGGCGGCCAGCGTGCCCGCGCCTCGGCGCTGCTTTGCCGTTCTGAGAAGGAAGGACGAGGAGCACGTTCACAGGCTTTTCCTTGTAAGTACAAACTGATCATATTTTACCAACACAAAACCTTTGAGAATAAGTACAGTATTTTTAGGGCAGCAGATCTTTAGGTCTTTCTGCTGTAATGAGACATTTATCAGTTGGCGAAGGGAGGGCTGAGCTGGGGTCCCAGAACTCCTTCTAAGGCTACATAACAAAACAGTTTCCACGTTAATTTTGGGCTCTGTGTCACCAAAGTCGTTAAAACTTAACAAGCATATAAACAGCCTAAGTATAAACATAAGAAAATTATGAGATTTCTAAATTTAACTTCTCCCTCCCTCTTTAAAAATGTGACCACACCCCCCCACGCCCATCTGCGCCTTTGTCGTTGGTCACAGCAGGGATGGGCCTGCGCGGGCGTCCCCGGGGAGGGTGTCCGTGCCCCTCGAGCACGCGTGGCGGCGCTTGGGCCTTGAGCAGGGACGCTCAGGGCGCTGCGGGCAGGGGTGGGCACAGGGCCGCGTGCGAGCGGCGTCAGGGGCCCGAGCTGGCGGGGCGTCCTCACGCCAACCCCGCGCGGGAGCCTCCTCCCCGTGAACGCCGAGGCGCCCTCGCGGCATGTGCCGCACGGTTGCCGGGATGGCAGCGGGGCTGCGGCCACCACACTAGCCCTGCTGTGCCACATGCGTCTCCCTCCTAACAGCACTGTCCCTGCTCCTAGCGAGCCCTTCCGAGGGAGCCCCCCGCCCGGGGCGGCCACAGGAGGGCGCCGCCTGGACCCTCTCCTCTGACCCACACAGGCCTTGCTGCCCTGCGGCTCTGGCGCTGCAGTGGCGGCAGGCCCAGCAGAGGGGTGGTGCAGGGCGCCGCTGCCGCCTCCTGCCTGCCCGTGGCAGAGCCCATGCAGCCCTGCCCGCGGCGCGGCCAGGGGCGCCCCGGGTGCGCGCTCATGACCTTTGGTTCCGGAGCACGGCCTCACCGCCCAGTGGGGCTCACCTGTCTGCTCTGTCCCTCAGGGAGGCCGCACCAGGGCCCCCCGCCGGGCCGCCCCCGGGGCCATACGTGGTGGTGGCCAGGCGCAGGCTGCGGCGGGACATCCTCGGAGAGTCAAATACAGGGTCCAGTCTGTGCGCCGTCTCGAAGTCCAGAGCTTCAGAAGAGTAGCTGGAACTGGAGGAAAGCAAACGTGTCAGAAACACGTGAGGCTCACAGCCCCATCTTTGCAGCAGACAAGACGAACAGCGACCACAGCACGTTCTGTGCGGCAAGGGCCACACACAGCCGTTGCCGTGACACGACGCCTCTGCAAAGCACAGGGAGCCGGTGCCCCGTCAGCGCGTGTGGAGCCGGGGCCCCAGGGGCCAGGGTCGAGGGCCAGAGCCCCAGAGAACCCCTTCCCGCAGCGCTCCGTTCCCGGGGATCCCGCCCGAGGGCCAGCGCGGCCACCGGTGCCTGCTCCGGCAGGAAGGGGCAGTGACGGCTCCAGGGCAGGGAACCCCCGACACACGGTCCCCGCAGCCCACGCGTGCAAGTGAAGAGGCGGCAGGCGGCTGAACCGCCAAGCTCCTCTGCCTCTGTCCCCCCACAGCCGGGGACAGGCCTGCAACAGGGACTCGCTAGAGGCCGTGCCCTTCTGTGCTGCTGGCCAGCCGTTCCACTCCACTCAAGGCTCGCTGCGCACCTGCTCCGGGCCCGCCCGGCCTGTCCGGGTGGCCGGGCGGCTCAGGGCCCCCTCGCGCTCCGACTCACAGCCGTGCTGGCAGCGGGGGCCGCTTTCGCCAAGACCATCTTCCACTTGGATGGGGGTGCGGGACAGGAGGCAGAGCTCAGGCCAGGGACGCTCGGCGCCCCTCCTGCTGTGCGGCCCGGCGCTCTCACAGGCCCCGGCCAGTCTGCAGCCCGGGGGCTGGGGAGCCCGGAGCTGGAGGGTCACCACCAGTGAGGCGTGACCAGGAGATGACCTCACCATCCAGTGGGGCGCAGGGGGCCGCCACGGCCTGTGAGGAGGGGAGAGGAGGACACAGGGGCGGGCTCCCTGACCGTGACTGACCGGCAGGCACGGAGTGTCGCGCGCCCCGGAGGCACATCCGGGGCCGCGGGGAGCAGCTGCTGAGGCACCGTGGGGAAGGACCTGCACCCTGAGTGGGGGAATGGCCGTAGGAGTGTTTCGCATGGTACCTGATACTAAAAAAACAGTTTCAGGATCAAGCTCCTCCCAAACGCAATAGATCTGGCACTCGGGGGAGCTGGGTCGCAGCGACAGTAAGCTGACACCATCGCGTCAGGTGACCGTGAGGCCGGTGTGAGGCAGCCACACCCCCCTCGGAGGCCGAGTGTGCTGGGTGAGGCCAGGGCTCCTGCTGCACTCGGCCTCCGGTTCCTTCCAGCGCCTTCGGGCCCGAGGGCGGTGTGAGCTGGAGAAGAGCCTGAACTTTCAGGTCAGAGTCCCCCCCATGGGGCTCACAGGACAGCAGCCCTCTATGAGCCTGGCGCCAGGGGCCGCCGGTGGCGTCCAGGCCTGCTCCGCTCTGCCCCAGCCCAGGCGGCGCTCGGGCGCACGGGCGCCGCCCCGACCCCCGGGCCTGGCCTCCCCACGCGGGGCCGCCGTTGCCGAGAGCCCTGGGAAAGAGCCGCTGGGAGGATGTTGTCACGGCAGCAGCAAAGCTGCCCATCCCGGGGGCTCGTGGGGGGGCACACGACACAAACAGGACCCACCCATGCTTCCTCCCCCCAGCCCCCGGCGGTCGGAAACAGGGCAGGTCCGCGCCTGCTCACGCAGGGAGGCTCCGGGCGCCTGGTCAACGCCAAGGGAAGTCCTCCAGGGTCACCCGCCCCGACTACAACAGACACGTGCTCACGCAGGAAACACAGAAACACCTGGAAGGCTCTCTTCCAGGGTCACAGAGACTCCACCCCCAGAGCTAACTGGGGCTGGCTCACAGCGGGGGAGGGCAGGGGGTCGGGGCTGGGGCTCCGCCCAGGCCCCCAGGGCCCGCAGCGCAGGTCCCGGCCACCGCGTGGAACAGGCCCCTGTCGACAGTCGGGCCCGGGGCCCAGGGAAGGACCCCGGGTCTGCAGGGGCGCGAGGCGCCGGGCACCCCAGCCAGCACAAGGCCCGGATGCTGTCAAGGGACTTCCCTGACTTTCTGTGAAGCTGGGGGGGGGGCGGGGAGGGGGACTGTAACCTGGGGTGTCCAGCCCTGCCTGACAACGCTGGGGTCGCCTGGTGGTCAACGCCACCACTGTCTGCGCCCCCTCCTGGCTTCCAGGCCCCCCCCCCCGTCCCCACACTCTGGCCCTCACAGCCCTGCTGCTTCCTCGCCAGCAGCCAAGGGGCAGCGTCTCCGGCGGCCTGCACGGCGCCAGCGTCTAGATGCACTGCCCCCCGCCCCGAAAAACACAAAACAACCAATGAGCACGGACCCCCCCCTCCCCACCCACCACGTGCTGGAGTGGCGCCCGCGCTCCCGGCCCTGCCGCCGGCCCCGGCCCACAGCCCGCCCCCCTTCTTCCCAACTGAACACCCGCTTCCCCAGCGATGGCAACGGCCGGAGCCCTCTGCTCCAGCGCCGCCTGCGCCCAGTGGCGCACCCCACGACGGGGGGCTCGGGGGGCTCCCGGGACAGCGCCCCCCCCCCCGGGCCTCACTCCCCAGGGGGCCCATCGCCTGAGAAGTGACGGGACTTCAGCGGGTTGGCAAGTGGACGCCACGGCCCGGCTGCCACACCAGAGGGGAGACCCAGGCGGACTCCACGCACCCTGCTCTCAGCCACAGGAAGTGCCACGTGTAGTGTAGTCATGGCAACAAACAAACGGAAACCTGGCCCAACCCAATCTGTGCATCTAACTACAGCTTCCAGGAAATGCAGGTGGAAGCCTCAGGCCGAGTGACCCACACAGGACGTGAGACTCCTGCTTAGGCCGATTTCTTTTGACGGCTGTTCAAACAAAAGGAGTGTCTGGGACCTGGAGCACCAAGGATCTGGTGTAGTAAGAAGTTATTACAAGTTATTTTAAATTACTAGGGGCTCTTTGTTAGATCATCATCTTTTAGAGATTCGCTTCCAAGCAGCCTGCTGGGGAGGGAGGGGCGAGGGGCCACGGTGGTCCGGGCCGCGCCCTCTGCGGCAGAACACGCGTTCACAAGGCGGGACATCCGGGACGCCGGGCAGGAGGCCGCGCAGGGGGCATGCGTGCGCCTGGCGCTGCCACCCCGGAGCAGCCACGCATGGGGAGGGGCCCAGCGCTGGCCAGGGAAGGCGGGGCAACTTCCGAGCAGCTCCAGCAAACCCCTCGCTGGCGCCCAGGCCCCCGGTGTCCAGCAGGGCCCCAGAGCCGTGCCACCCGCCCTGCCTCCTCCTCTCCCGGCCGTGCAGCCACGTCCTGCCGCCCCGGCCCGAGCGCAAGGACCAGACAAGCATCTTTCAAAACCTGTGTTTAAAACAGGCCACAAAAGGTAAGAGAGATGAGCAAGAAGGACTGTGTTCATGCTCCACAATGCAGACTGAGGAACAGTTTGTGTGAGTGGCCCACTTGATCTGTTCCAAGATACTGTGAGGCTTTTAGCAACAAAATAGCGTGTTCCTGGCGAAGGGCAACGTGACCCAGAACTGTGACTGCAACCGCTCAACCGCTGAGTGTGAGACTTGGCTAACGCCGCTACGAGGGGTCCTTCCTCAGGCAGCGGATCCCCACCTCGCTCCCCCCTTCTCTGCAGAGCCAGTGGAAAGAGGACACCCTCCGACTTCCCGTCACACCTACGCCCTTCACAGGAGAAACCGCTGAAAAGACACAGCCTCCTCCCGGGTGCCTCACGCACTTGCCAGGACGCAAAGGCTTCCAAGCGCCTGGGAAACCGACCGGCGCAGCAGGGAATTCTCCTCCGGCGCTGGCCACACTTACATTTCTTTTCAGTCATCTTTTCTGTTGATAAACTAGGAGGGTAAAAGGCCAAGTGAGCAGCTGCGCAACTGCAGCCGCAGGCTTACAGCTGGGGCAGGGGTGGGCGCGGGCGCGGTCAGCCAACCTGAGGCTCAGCCTCGCCTGCCCTCCCAGGCGGGCGCCTCCAAAATGCCCCGCCCCGCCCCACGCAGAGCACGGAGCTCCCGAGGCCACAGGCCCTGCGCGCGGTGTCCGACGGCCTGGCCGTGTGCAGCGCCGGGCGACACGTGTCCACGGGCCCCTCCTGACTGCGCCCCGGGCCACGAGGCCGCGGAGGCCCGTTCACCCGGCGGCAGCGGCTCACCTGAGTGCGTACGTGTAGCCAGTGTTCTCGGGCGCGCACTGCGGCGGCGCGTACGTGTGCAGCCGGGAGAAGTCCATGTCCGTGGCCTCAGGTCATCCTGCAGCGGGGAGAGAGTGAGCAGCAGTTAGCGGCGCCCGCACCGGCCTCACCCTCAGGTGCAGCCTGCGGATCGGGGTCAGGGTAAGACACGTGGGCTCGAAGCTGCGGGTGGAGTGCAGTCCCACTCAGCCCTGAAAGGGACGCATCTCCGAAGGGCCAGCACACTCGGAACCCCGGAAACTGGCGCACGCCCAAAAGCTTAAGGAACGTCACCAAGGAGCCTCTGCCAACACATTTTCAAACTCCTGAGGGTGTCAGGTGTCCTCCTCCTCCTCCTCCAGGACGGGGCTCCACGCGCGCCCATGGGAACAGCGGCCCGGCGCGTGGCCACGGAGCTCGCGGGCGCTGCCCCGACGGCACCTCCGGCCAGAAAACCGCCTGCGAGCCCCACGCTAGCCTCACGCGCCACTTACGTTGCCACCTTTCCCCAAGAGAACACATTATTTTTAAATTAAAGTGTGGAGCTCACTGGCTCTCACGCTGTTGCCTAGATTTCTTTGACGTGACTCAGCCTTCCCTCTGGCTAAAAATACTCACACACAACACACACCCCCGCCCAGCGTTTTTTAAAAGCTCATAGTAGTGACGTGAGCCCCAGTCTGTTGCTGAATAGTCTGAAGGACAGTAAAAGCACAAATAAAAACAGTCGCGGACAAAAACTGTTCGCGGGTAAACGCCTGCTTCTACAGAACAGAGCCGCCCTGAAATTCGCACGGACCCACAGAGGTGCCTGAGCAGGAGCCAGGGGCTCTGCTGCCTGCGCCTTACGAGCCGCCGTAACCGAAACCCTGCGGTACCTGCACCCGAACGGACGCACAGGGCGCCGTGACGGAGGGCCCAGAGCTGAGCCCGGCGCGCACCATCCGTCAACTTACGACAGGGAGGGCAGGCATACACAGGGAGGAGAAACGGCCTTTTCAGTAAAAGGCTGAAAAGATGGACTGTTCCGTGCAAAAGAAGGAAACGGGACCACCGTCCAACACGAACCCGAACCCGGCTCGCATGCTGGAAGCCCCGCACCGAGACCGGGCAGCAAACGCCGACGGGGGTGCGAGCTCCGGGGCGGGGTCTTGGCGGGCGCTTCCTGGCTATGGCTCCAAAAGCAAAAGCGAACCAGTGGGACCACATCAAACTAAAGGGCTTTGCACAGCAAAGGAACCGATCAACAAAACGAAATGACAGCCAACCAAAGGGGAGAAAACACTCACAAATTACGTATCTGATAAGGGGTTAATATCCAAAATGTATAAAGAACTCGTACAACTCAACAGCAAAAGAGCAAGCAGCCCAACTGGCAAACATGTAGCGGCCCGAACAGACACTTCCCCAGAGAAGACACACAGACGCCGCAGGCGTGGGAACAGGCGCCCAGCGTCACGGGTCGCCAGGGAAACTCAAATCAAAGCAGCAGTGAGGCATCACCTCCCACCAGTCAGAACCTGTTACCAAAACGGCTAGAACAGCAGGCGCTGGCGAGGACGTGGGGAAAAGGGAACGCGTGCGCCCTGCAGCGGGACGCGGGCGGGCGCAGCCACAGCACCCACAGCGCGGGGGCCCCCCAGACCACGGGAACCAGAGCGGCCCACCTGCGTGTTTGTCTGCAGAGAACGGCAACGCTAACTCGAAAAGATCCACGCACCTGCGCCCCCCACGGCACTGCTTCCGCCAGCAGCACAGGAGGCAGCCTGGGCCCGCCGCCCGCACGGGGGCCTGGCGGGGCCGTGGACGGAGACCGGCCGCTCGCAGGCCGCGGGGACGGACCGTGAGGACGCCAGGCCGAGTGAGGCAGCCGGAAAGGCGAAGCCAAGCACCACGCAATCTTATTGCGCATTTTTTAAAATTTTAAATAAAGCAAAAAGAAAATTAGAGAACAGATTGGTGGCTGCCAGAGGTGAGAGAAATCGGTGAACTGCTTTTTGTTGTTTTTTTAGTTTAGATCCATTGAATCTTGAAATGAAATGAGACACATCACTGGTTCCCGCGAGCGATGATGAATGCATCCCCATTCCTACCGTTTCCTTTCTTTTTTTTCAAGTAGGTTGATGAAATATAACCACCGTTCTCGAGACAGACACGTAGGTCTGAGAAACACGGAACGCTTCGCGCCTTCGGGGACCGTCCGCGCGGCCGGCTTTCAGCGCGCGCTGCGGGGGCGGCGCCCGCCCTGTTCTTCCCGCAGCCCGCGCGCCCCTTCCGTCCCACTCCCTCCCCCGCCCCCTCTCCCGCCTCCGCCCACGCCGCCCCTGCAGCCCTCACAGGGTGGTCTGCGTCCCGGAGCTCTTTTTTTTAAGCCCAAACATTCTTTAAAAAAATTAAGTACCCACAGAAACGAAGGCCAATGTTTGTATATAGAGATTTTACTGCACATCGTCTCACCCACGCGGGCAACTCCCGCACTGTGAACACCGACCACAGGCCTCAGCCCGGCCCGCGCCCCCGGCCGCGCCGAGCACGTGTCCCCCAGGCAAGACCCCGCCGTACCTGGGCTGCCGGGCAGGTGCGCGCACAGCCGCTCACGCGCAGGGGCCCTGGGAGCGCTGCTCCCCCGTCCTCTCCACCCCACCGCACCCCCGCCTTCAGGGCCGGCCCAGGGCCCTGGAAGAACAGGCCCCGGAGGTCCACGCACCCGGAGCCGGTCCGCGGTCTCCAGCCCTCCAGACAGCCTAGGTTGGCGGGAGCAGCCGGGCCAGGCCTCCTCCCACCCTGGGGCCCCCGGGGCGGAGCTGGAGCCACACCCAGGGGAGCCACACCCAGCACAGGGCACCCGAGCCTCAGCTGTTTACAGTAAGTTGCTAGGTAACCACAACAAGCCGACCGGCAACCCGTTCCTGCCCCGCTGTTTTTGTTTGTCCTCTGCAGTGGGTAAGTGGCTCATTTTTTACTTTTTAAAATGTATTTTATTGATTATGCTATTACAGTTGTCCCTCTTGTCCTCCTTTGCCCAGCCCCCCATTCCCTCCAGCAATCTCCCACTTTGCTCACGTCCACGGGGCGTGTGTGTAAGTTCTTCGGCTTCTGCGTTTCTTAGCCTCCCAGTCTGTTTCCTACCGACCAGCTTTGCTGCTTCATCCCATTTCTCACCTCGTGCCCCTCCCCCTCCCCACGGTCAACCCTCCACGTGATCTCCATGTCTGTGATTCTGTTCTAGCCGTTTGCTTAGTTTGTTTCTTAGATTCAGTTGTTGTAGTTGTGAGTTTGTTGCCATTTTACTGTTCACAGTTTTTATATTCTTTTTCTTAAATAAAACCCTTTAACATTTCATGTAAGAATGGCCCGGTGACGATGAACTCCTTTAACTTTACCTTGTCTGGGAAGCTCTCGCTCTGCCCTTCGGTTCTAACTGACGGCGTCGCTGAGCAGGGCCCTCTGGGCTGCAGGCCCCGGCTTTTCCTCACTTTGCACTTTTTGCCACTCCCTTCCGGCCTGGGCAGCTTCTTTTGAGAATCTGCTGAGAGTCTTATGGGAACTCTGTTGCAGGTAATGCTCCACTATTCTCTTTTGCTTTTGATTCTCTTTATCTTTAACCTTTGGCATGTTAGTTATGATGTGTCTTGGTGTGGGGCTCTTTGGGTCCAGCTTGCTTGGGAGTCTGCTTCCTGGACTTGTATGTCTACTTCCTTCACCAAATTGGTGAAATTTTCTTTCATTATTTTTTCAAGTCAGTTTCCACCGTCTTGCTCCTCCTCTCCTTCCGGCACACCCCTCGGATTCAGATGTCGGTGCATTTGGAGATGTCCCACAGGCGCATTATACCATCCTCGTTTTTTTTTTGGATTCTTTTTTCTTCGGGCTGTTCTGGTTGAATGCTTTTTTTCTTCCTCATGTTCCAAATTGTTTATCTGAATCTCAGTTTCATCCCCTCCACTGCTGGTTCCCTGTAGACTTTTCTGCACTTAACGTAGCCTTCCTTTCTTCCTGGGTCTCTTTCATGCTCTTGCTATACTCAGTGAGTTCTCTGAGCATCCTGATAACCCGTGTTTCGAATTCTGCATCCGATAGGTTGGTTATCTCCATTTTGTTTCGTTCTGTGTCTGGGGTTTTGTTCTGTTCTCTCATTCGGGCCATGTTTCTTTGTCCCTCCGTTTGGCAGCCTCCCGGTGGTGGTTTCTCTGTATTGGGTAGAGCTGCTTTGACTCCGTCTTAGTAGTGCGGCCTGCTGTAGAAAAGGCACCTGTAAACTGTGCGCGGTGGAGCCGTAGGGGATCGCCAGGACGGGCGCCCGCCTCGCCCTCAGCGGCTCTGCCGGGAGGGCACGGAGAGGGGACAGTGCCGCTGCCTGGCCTCTGGGGCTTCGCCCAGGAGGAAGCCGCCCCCCAGCACTCGCCCCGTTTCCAGTCGCTGCACTTTCTCCGCACACGCCACAGGTGCCTGTTCAGCGGCTGCCCGGGGGCCAAAGGCCAGAGGGCATGGGCCTGCCTGAGTCCTAAGTCCACACGGGCCCTTTAAGCAGAGTCTCTTGAAAACCTGAGTTTCTTCTGCCGCCCCAACCCCCACCGGTGTCCACAGCCAGAAGTTACGGGGGTTTATGCTCCTGGCGCTGGACCTGGGGGCTGTGTGTGGTCTGGCCTAGGGCTGGGATCCTTTGCTCCCAAGGAGTCCCTCCTGATTGCTATCCACCACAGGTGAACGTGGGGCCACTTGTGCTGTCACCTCTCCATGCCACACCGCGTCTCCACACCTCTCTGCCCATCTCTGCATCTCCGCCCCCTGACCCGTCTGGATGGACGTGGCTTCTTTAAATCCTTAGTTGTCGGACTTCCGTGCAGCTCAATTTTCTGACAGCTCTGGGTGATATTTGTTTTGTGGTTTAGCTGCATGTTTTTCTGCAGTTGTGCAGGGAGGCGAAGTGTGTTTACCTATTCCGCCATCTCGACTGAAAGTTCTTAAACCTTTTTTAGAAACTTTTTCAGAAGAACTTCCCTAGGCAAAGCAGCTGCTCCTAGTGGCGGCTGGGCAGAATGTCCACAAGTGGCTCATGTTTTAAATTCCCTTTTACTT